GATTACTTTGAATTCCTTTTTAGGCATTAGCTTTCCTTTTCCTTGGGATCTGTTACTGAAGAAAATTATTGTGCCCCTTTACATGTGCCTGTTTCCTTGCTTTTTCATGTTGTTTCCCTATGATGATATTTATGCATCTAGTGTAACTTGTGCTTCTTCCACTCTTATGGAGCAACTTCCATAGGGAAAGAGTTTTTCCTTACATTTATCTATAGTGTCAATTGGGTAGGTTGCTTTGGCTTTCATTCTGGGTAGGCACAATAGTGTAGTCTCCATATACATATATTTTACCGTGATGATCAGTAGTGTCCGCAAGTTACTCAGTGTCTTAGGCTGCAGTTGTTTGTGGAGACTGTGGCGAGACTTAGCTGGAGACAGGAATGCTGAATAAGCCAGCTCTTAGGTCACAGAGGGGGCATGCTTTGGCACTGGTGATGGTGGCTGCAGATACCAGATGAGCCAGTCCTTGAGACTCCAAGACAATTGGTGCAGGTATGCAGCAGCCTTGCCACTAGAGAGGGTGAGGTTGCTGGCAATGGTGGGCCCCAGGCAGATTAGTCCTTGGTCCATGGGCACCATGCATAGGTGTTAGTGGCAGCAAGCCCTGGGCAGGACAGTCCTTGGACTATGAATGGCATAAATGGACAAGTGGCTCTCAGGCTCTGCAGAGTGCACATTTTGGCTACGTTCTGGGAGCAGCTTCCTGGACGTTTTGGACTTCCTTTTCCCCAGAATATATAGTATGCTGACCAGGCTCAAGTGCTGAGAACAAGACTTTGCTGGAGTCCAGCTGGTGTTGTGATGCTACAACCCTCTGAGTGGATGTCAAAAGGGTCCCAGAAACACGGAGATGCAAGGGCTACTGGGTCCCTGGACACAATATAGTACAGTGGTGGTTGCCTCCCAAAATGATACTGTGCTATAACAGCTTGGGGACCAGAGGGTCGGTGAAATACAGTGGGAATTCTCTCCCTGAAACAGTACAGCTGCGACTCCAGGCAGCGTCCTATTTTGGGCTAAAGGCCTGTGAGGGCCAAGGGGCTTCATGTAGATAAGATTGCAGGCATCTGTCATGGGAACATGGACTGCTGGGGATCTCCATTTATCTTTCCCCTAGATGGGGATACTTAGCTAAAAGCCAATCCAAGTTGGGTGCTTTTTTCCCTCTCTCTGTTGCCATCTTGAGTTTCTGTGCCTTACGGTCCATGTCACTTCCCTGCTGAATTCCAGTGTTCTCCCTTGGACACTCTATTCAATATGCGGCTACCTGTTACGTGGCTTTTTTGGAGGTGAGTGCTGGGCACCTTCAGTCAGTTACCTTGATGCCTCCAAATTTTATTTTTTAATTGAGATTCCTGGCAGTGGAAGTGAGCCTTCAAGATGGCTCACGATCATTATCTCACGGTATTTACACACTTGTGTAGTTCCCTCTCACATTGAATACGCTGACCTCTGTAACCAATGGGATACTGAGGAAATTACATCATGCGAATTTTGAGACTAGGTCATAAGAGATTGCAGCTTCTCCCTCACTCTCTTAGATGACTTGCTCTGGGAGGAACCTACTGTCATGTCCTAAAAACAAGAAGCAGCCTTCTGGAAAGGTCCTTAAGATGAGAAGCAGTCAATAGCTCAACCAACTTGCCAGTGATACGAGTCTTCACTGCAAGAATATGCTCCCTTAAATCTTTGGAAGCAGTAAGAGTATAAATTATAAACACTAAGTATCCTCCATTCTGTAGCCTAACAAATATTAAGTTTTACTTGTGAAACAATTTACTAGAACTCATGTGCTTAGGACAGAATTCCTTCTAAAGGCCTGCTATTCTTTCTTCTTAATATTTCTTAGGAGACTTTAGCTGCTTGGTTTTCTCTTTTTTTTTTAAACAGAAGCTCAACTCCTACAAAATAAACTATGCATTCTTTAGGCAAGTAAGTTTTGCAGAGTGCTTTGGGGGTTCTCACATTGCTAATTTATTTGAATTGCATTTTAAACACATATCAATTATTTTCAAACTGCTAAAAAATGTGAACATGTTATATAGTAAATGCTTAGTATACCATGAACTATCACATTATCTTACACTTCCACATAACATCATATATGTGCAGAGGCTGGAACCATTCTTCTACAATTTAGCTTAAGAAGTATATCCTGAATTGGTGTTTTAACCAACATAAAGAGACTTCTGCCTCAAGATGTAAAAAGTTGGAAGTGTTGATTTCACCTTTGTAGCTAGCTAAAAGGAAGTAGGACTAACTTCAAATTCAAGGCTTACTGAAAACTCTCAGGAGACCTCAGGTAGCAGAGAAAATAACTTGTCCAAACTCTCATCTACAGAAGAGGAGACAACAAGTCCACTTGGGGTAGTTCATCAAGAATAGCTGACAAATTGGTGAAAGTTGAGTGCAGAATAATGTAAAATCCCTGAGGCCGAACCCGCTGGAAAGGAGACCACATCCTCCTACAGGCTCTTCTTCCGGGAACCCCACCTGGCACACATAGAAATCATAACTTATTCATTGTGGTGCAGACCTAGGGAAGAAGAATGGTAGCTATGCATGAGGGATAGAAACTCTATCAAGATCTTTCCCTTCTACTATAGAAAAAAATTCCTTAAAAAAAACACAAACTATCGGCCGGGCGTTGTGGCTCACGCCTGTAATCCCAACACTTTGGAAGGCCGAGGCGGGTGGATCACGAGGTCAAGAGATTGAGACCATCCTGGTCAAAAGGGTGAAACCCCCGTCTCTACTAAAAATACAAAAAACTAGCTGGGTATGGCCACGCATGACTGTGATCCCAGCTACTCGGGAGGCTGAGGCAGGAGAATTACCTGAACCCAGGAGGTGGAGGTTGCGGTGAGTCGAGATTGTGCCATTGCACTCCAGCCTGGGTAACAAGAGCGAAACTCCGTCTCAAAAAAACAAAAACAAAAACAAAAAACCCCACAAACTATCAAACTAACACAAGAAATTGTCCTATTTATAATGTTACATTTTAAAACCTTCAAAAAAAAAAATCCAGGCCCCAATGTTTTACTGGCTAATTTGACTTCTATACAACCTCTTCCAGAAAATAAAAGAGAAACACACACTTCTCAACTCATAAGGCATTATTCCTAAGCTGAAATCAGACAAAGAGCCCAGCATCCCTAATGAATGCAAATGCAAAAATCACCCCCTCACCAAATTTTAAAACCAAATCCAGCAAGATATAAAAATGAAACTACAGGTTTCATTCAAGCAATGCAAGGCGATCTCAATAGTCAATGTAATTTATCAAATTAATGGACTAAAATTTAATAACTATAAAATAATTTGGAAAAAAAAACCTAAAATGCAATAAAAAAAAAGAAAGAAAAGATCTTCTGAAATTAAAAAGGTTTGACCAAAAAATTATTTATGCCACCTAGTGGTGACTGAGATAAATATGACTACTTAACAACAAGAGTTCAGGAACTGAAGATGCCTATACTTTTTTTTTTTTTTTTTTTTTTTTGAGACGGAGTTTCGCTTTTGTTACCCAGGGTGGAGTGCAATGGCGCAATCTCGGCTCACGGCAACCTCCGCCTCCTGGGCTCAGGTAATTCTCCTGCCTTAGCCTCCTCCGTAGCTGGGATCACAGGCACACGCCACCATGCCCAGCTAATTTTTTTTTTTTTGTATTTTTAGTAGAGACGGGGTTTCACCATGTTGACCAGGATGGTCCCGATCTCTTGACCTCGTGATCCACCCACCTCAGCCTATACTTTTGACAAGTAAAGCTTAACTGGGAGAAAAACACTAATAAGGTGCTAATATTTGAGATCATGTAAATTAGACATTCAAAAATAAAACATTCCAGTAAAATTGTTTTAAAAGATCAATTTAAGAAAGGAGAGCAGCTTGCTGGCTACATGAGTAAGCAGGATATTTGAAGTATATTAGAGAATGACGTCCACATGTATTATCTCCATATTATACCATATCAAACACCACAATACCTCCAAGTCATTATCTTCATTATGGATAAGTCCTTGCAATACAATAATTGACCGGCAAAGGGAGGAAAATAAAAGGAGAGTATTCTTATTTATTTTTTGAGATGGAGTTTTGCTCGTCACCCAGGCTGGAGTGCAATGGCGCGATCTCGGCTCATCGCAACCTCCGCCTCCTGGGTTCAAGCAATTCTCCTGCCTCAGCCTCTTGATTAGCTGGGATTACAGGCACGTGCCACCGTGCCCAGCTAACTTTTTGTATTTTTAGTAGAGACGGGGTTTCACCATGTTGATGAGGATGGTCTCGATCTCTTGATCTTGTGATCCACCCACCTCGGCCTCCCAAAGTGCTGGGATTACAGGTATGAGCCACCACGCCCGGCCAAGGAGAGTATTCTTAAATGATGAGAAAATAAAACAAAACTATAGACAATTGGCCGTTCCACTTTGTGCGGACTACTGCAAGAACAAAAATGAGAGACATGCAGTGGTATAAAGGGAATAAAGGGCCTGGGTTTTCCTCCTTGGCTTGCAGTATGTATCCTAGAGCAGAAGACTTGCCTTTATAAACTCCTATACCCAGATCTATAAACCGACATGACAGAAAAAACTTATCCCTTTAAATTCTTGTATTCTACCAGGCAATCGCAATAGAAGAAATATTTCTAAATCCTTAAAAAATAATTTTGGTGCTATCAATTTCATCAGGAAACATGGTAAGTAATAGTACTTAGAGTATTTCCTGGCACACAGTAAGTGCTTTAAAAATATTAACTATTAGCAGACAGGAAAAGGTAAGAGAAAACAAAAGGAACCAAGAAGAGAAAGAAGTGAAGACAGTCTAGCATGCATAATTTTCTAATCCTAGTTTTGACACTATTACATACTTAAATACCTTCCTCATAAATGTGAACCAAAAATACTCTGTCATCATTCTGTATGAGACATGTCTTCACTTAAAGAATTGTTATTTAGGGGAAATCAAATCATAACCTTTTGATAAGAAGCAAGAAAAATTACCTCTTTACATTGATTTTTATTAAACAAATAAGGCTGGTAGTGGAACATATTTTTATTTAATGCATAAACATGTAAGTCCCTTTATTAGAGAAACTGTACATATTGATGAATATGGTTAATGGTCACATCTATGGGTTAATTTTTAAAAAATCAGAACCAATAATTAGGATAGATTTGATGCTCTCTTCATTACATTGTGAAGTGTCTTGTGTAGTCATATTCTATTGTTGGAATGACAGCTTGTACAAATTTCAAGAAAATAAGAAGATACCTAAAAGTTTTTAGCTAAGGAAAATAAGATTTGTAAATAGTTCTATGTTTTAAGCCCATGTTGTATGTATCCATTTTATTAAGCCATTAATCTCTCAAAAAAAAAAAGACAAAATCTTTATTAAAAAATTCAACTATGAAAATTTGTGTCTATTTAACATTAGGCTCTTTAAGACTACCTGACCACTCATTCTAATATTTGAATTTGAAATTTCTTAATGAGTAGGCATTCATATAAGCACAATTACTTTGACATAAAAATAGACAAAGCTATCCATGTTTAAATGAGTATAAAATGTAGTCATTTACTAGACTCCTTTCCTGTTTATAAGTTTGCTAGAGTTATGTCAGAAAATGAGGTGTAATAGACTATGAAAGCACTTTAATGAGAAACTGGTATTTCCATTACCTCAAAATATCTCTCCCAAAATTTACTAATTGCTGCTGTGGTGGTTTCTCCAGAAAGCAAAGATTAATTCTTTTTTCTTGTGGCTATAAACTTCCATAGACTTAATGACTCACTTCTAACAATGGAAAGGAATACATATGAACTACATAGAGTAGAGAAACGTAGTAGATACTACCTTAACTAAGTACTACAGACTCAGTAGTACTAAATGCAATGAGGAAGACATAATCTCTGTGATATGCTTCCCCAACATTCATAACCTCAGGCTATTTTTCTCATGAAAGCACTGAGAAAAATAATACGAAAACCCTTTATATTAAACTGATTCTAGGTTAATATATGCATTTGTCAAGGACTCTGCTGTACTGGACTGTCTTTAATAAAATTCTGAAACATTTTCTATGTTCATCCAGCATCCAGCATAGTGCCACTTACACATAATAGGACTTCAGGAGTAAATATGGTTTAGACGAAAAGTTTTTGGTTTGTTCAATATCAAATCAGTCCAAAGTTCTTCTTATAGGGACACACTTTATTAGCAAAGCCTAGGTTATCTGTAGCTTCAAGACAGTGGTGACCCCTCAGTCTGAGTTTCCACATCTAATCTAACAGTAGCAGAAACCACCACCAAGTCAATTATCAACCTAGCATCAAACGAATTCAAGCTCTCTGGCATCTATATCATTGATTTTGACTGCTTTTGATTAATCCATGCTATGAATACATGTACTTTAGGATCCAACAGTTTGCTTGGGCATTAACTTGAACTTATTACTTCTGTCAATGCAAAAAAACTGAGTGGAAAACTATAGTAAGATATAAGACAGGTGCTACTGTCTTGAGAAAAATGAACATGCTATATTTTTAGAATATCTAAAGTACTTCATGTAGAACACTACTCTTTAATTAACCTATTTGTTTAAGTTGTATTATTTGCCTCAGAGATCTCAGATTGATACAACCTAATTTTACTTTTACCTGATAGGAAAGTACATTTTTTGTAACATGTTAAATTGGAAATATACATAAGAAAAAGATACTTATGTTCTTATTCTAAATTAGTAGTTACCTCTGTAATAAGGCTGAGCTACTGCTACACATGGGGACGTGTTCTAACCAACTAAGCAAGGCATAATTATCATAATATAACACTTTCTAAATAAATTAAAGAGGTCCACTAGGATTTTCAGATACGCGAAGTTAAAACAAGTTATAGGTACTATGTCATTACGATTACACTAAATTTCTCAAAAAAAAAAAAAAAAAAAAAAATCCTAAGAGCCATTTTGCCATAATCATGCACACAGTGAAGGATACATATGAACTCCAAGCTCTCCCCCTCCTTCTGCAACAGTCTCAATGATTTTCTTCATCACCTCCGCATGCCTAGGAAAAAGAAAATTGTTAATATAGACTGATCAAAATAGAAAAGACACGTTTTTCATTTGTAAAGAAAGCAATCTTATTACTGTCAGTGAACTAATATTTAACATATAGCACTCCCCAACAACTATAAAATATTTATTAAAATAGTTAAATTATAAAATATCTCCTCATCACATCTGAAACACAAGATTATAGATTGTTATGCCATGCAAACAGTTTTACTAGGGGAGGGGGCAATCTTAGAATGCTAGGGTAGTCCCAGCAGACACAATAGCATTAGTTAGTATTCTGGTAATTGGGACAGATAAGGCAGGCAGAAAACCAGAGAAAGGGAAATCATGTAGGAGATAAAAGTGGAATGACAGCTGTTTGCTCTATGAAACAAAAAGGAGCCATACCATGCAAATTTTTTAAAAAGCCACATGGTATCAGTTGAACAAAAAAGCAAAGAAGTATCTATAATCCTATGATTTGGGCTGTTTATTTAGCTGAGAATAAGCCAAAACTGACAGGGTTTAAGAAAAGCTAATTGGTCAGAGTTAAGAGGTTGTATTTGTTTCTTTGTCCTATTGGGTATTCTAAAATTTATTGAATTCTATGTAAATATAATTTTTTGCTTATAAGAAGAAAGGCATTTATTTATGTGAAGTTTTTGTCCTATCTATACATCTTTTCATGGCCAACTGGTATCTCTCCTGTGCTATAGAAAAGAGTGACATCAAAATTAGTACCTAGGCACAGAAACCAAGAAAAAGACAATTTTTAAAGAAAGTCTTTTTAACATATCCTGGCTTAAATCATGCTGCTTCAGTTTCTGACCATATCCTTCATGACAGAGGCAGTCACTTAGAATATAAGAGTGAATGTATCAGCCCAGAAGGCACAATCTGAGGTAGTCCGTGGAAAGGACCAAAATATTCTTGAAGTTTTATTTTATAAGGACTTAGATTTTTTGAAATATTTATCTCTCATTCCATAATATAGTCATCATAATTACCGGTTAAACTATTTTTCCAACTGAATAAAATTTACACCTCAGAAAGAGATATGCTTCAGTTTAACAAGCATCATCCTAAGATCTTAAACCATAAGAGGAATCAACAAAATAACTCTCAAAACTGAAAACTTTTTCAATTAGATAATTAAAACTAAAACTAACAACTCCTAAATTATTTTTCATAGTTAGCATGATTAAAGTTTCAGACATAAAACTGAAAAAAATGAGCAAGGTCTTCCATGGGATTAAAGTCTGAGAGTAAAGGGGTTGCAGAATATGAGAAGAAAATATTAAAGGTTGTTTTTAACTAGAGGGAAGAAAAAAAAGAAATGTTTCATCTAACTGGTCAAGAAAATCCCAACTTATAAAATGCACTTGACTTGCTAAGGCTGAAGAGCTCTCAACTGAAGAACATACATACAAACATCTCCCTTCACTAATCAATTAGAGAAAGCAAATAGTTCACATAGAAAAAACACAGGGTTAACTCTGTAGTCTACATTCACAGAAAGACATAGTCATAACACAGCAAACTATATCTAAATGATGACTATTTCTGAGTCAAAAACAGGATCTTTCAAACTGTTCTGGAGCTAAAAAGTATAGTAAAATCACAAAGATCCATCTATTCTATAATTAAACACCCACAAAGAACAAAACAGTCTTAATGTATTAAATTTAAAATAAATTGGTGAGGTTTTTTTTTCCCCCTTTCATTTTTATTTAAGCACAAGAAGATTTCAAAGGAGGACAAGAGAGAATTTTGTTTGCTTATTAAGTAAAAACTTTCTCTGTTAGGGTTCCATGTTTACAGATTCTTAAGTAAGAAATCTATGAAATGAATAAATGCATCAAAAAATATACTTATTTCTACATACACAGACCTGCATGGGTGAACTGAACACATGGGAGGTGGTGGGAGATGAGGGTGATTTTCAATGGTCACTGTTTTCTTCACATGATCTTGACTGATGTCTTCATACATGTGCTCAACTGTTAAAGGCTGCCGTTGCTGAAAGTATTAAAAATGCTTGGAAATTACTATCTTAGCCTAAATCTCAAATTTTATAATATATTTAGTTCTCCATCTCACATCACTTGCAATTTAGAATTCTAGACTATTAAGCATGATTTTTGGGAAATTTTACAATTTATTAATATCAAAGGAGGGAGAGAGAAGGAGTGACAGCCAAGCTCTGTGACAGCTTCCCCCAATGCAGAAAAAAGATGGTAAGTCTGTGGCTGTCAAAACATTTTGTAACTTTGTAACTCGTCTCTTAGACTGATTTTGGTTTTTTGTTTCCCATGTATGGTCATAAGAATGACAGATTAAACAAGTTGATCTTGTATCAATTATCCTTTAATTCAATTAAGTATCTGAGTTTTCTGTCTTAAGGGAAAAAATACATTAATCCACTCTCTTCATGTGGCATGATCATTCTGTAAATGCCTATATATCCAACTGATGTAATCCCAAATAAAATTTAAATACCAAGTTAAATTTCCCTCACATTTTGAAGTCATAAGCTTAGAGGTCAAGAAATATGCAACACATTATTTCTGTTTAAGTTTTAGCATTATTGTTGTTACACTGAATAATTCACAGTTCATTCAAAATAAGAATCAAGTTCAACATTAATCATAAAGCTGTAAAACAAATGATTTCTAAAATTCAAACACTGCAATAAATACCCATGAGGCTACTGAAGAATAAATTCAACAATGTAAAATACTGATATTAAAATCTAATTCTCTTAATTTTTACCTCATCATAGCCAAATAACCATAATCGTGGAGTCTGGTAATATTTATCATAAGTGATGTAAAGGTCGTAAGTTCTGGTTTGCAAAATAGCATCTTCACCGCCAGCATCAGTTTTGGCTTTACAAGCTTCTACTATTTTCCTTGTATCAAGGGTAGCCTGGCACATAATAAAAGAGAAAAATGTACAACCATTAAATCAGTACGAATGTGACATTTTAGAAAACCTATTTTTTCCATTCTATATTTTGTTTTCTTACTAGTAAATGAACTTGGAACTCAAAGCTAAATTTTATATGATATAAATGAACAAATTAGAACTTATTTGAAAGATCAATATATTATTAAGAACATGAATTCCCAAGCTCATTCATTAAAAATAAAGAAAACTCAATTTACTAACCTCATCTGTTTCCAACAATCCACTCTCTTCATATTCTGTTATAAAAAGCAACAAAAGATTAATCAAGTTCAAGAAAATTCCCTAAACCAATTTATATATTACTTCATAACATCATTCAAAAACTGGGGTTTTTTTGCCTTTGTTTTTAACTGAAGATACTGAACAGACATAAGTGAGCGAATTCTATACTTCCAAAGGCAAAAGCCCAGAGAAAGTCAGCATATTTAAGGCTTGACATAGTAATACGGTAGAGTCCTCAGTGGCTCCACAGTGTAAGCAAGGCTACTTCTATAACTGCATAAACCTGTTCATTAAAGTCATCAGTGACCTCCTCTTTGCTGAATCCAGTGGTGAATTCCCAGTTTTCATCTTAATTGACCTGTTACGAATATCTGGCATGATTTAGTCCCTTCTCCTTGGAACACTTTCTTTCCTTGGCTTTTAAAATATTTCCCTGGCTTTTCTCCCACATCACTAACTGCCGCTTCAATATCTTCTATGCTGGTTCCTCTTCTTCGCCTCTACTTTAAAAAGAACCATAAAACCAAGGGCTGCAGTAACCAAGGGCTGTTTCTGGACCGTGTCTCTCCTCTATCCTCACTTATTTCTGTGACAATTTCATCCAGACTCAATAACTTTAAATATTGATTACTTTAAAAAATTTATTCCCTGCCTGCAGACTTGGATATGTAATTGTTTATGACTCCACTGGATAACTAATTAACACTGCAAATATCACATGTCTAAAACTGAGTTCCTGACTCCCTCTCCAAAGCTAATCACTCTTTCCATTTTTCTGCTTCTCGGTTAATGGTATCTTTCTAAAAGCTCAGGTCAAAAACCTTGGAGTCACCCTTGACTACTCTGCCTGTCACCTACAACATCCAATCTAGCAGGAAATCTCTTTGGCTCAACTCTCAAAATATTCCACAATTTTACGGTTTCTCATCACTATCAATATTACAACCCCAGCCCAAGCCACCATCATTTCTTGCCTGGATTATTGAAACAGCCTCTTGTTGTCCCTTTCCCCTTCAGCCTATTCTTCCCACTGTACAGTGATTCTGTTGAAATGTTAAATCATGTTGCACCTCTACTTGGGGGGAATAAAAACCCTCCAATGGCTTGTCTCACTGTGAGTTATGTCAATGCCTTATAGAATCTGGTCCCTGGTTACCTCTCTGACTCTACCCTTTACTACTCTCCCTTCTCTCCTCTCTTGACTGAATACTGTAAGGTGTGTATTTTACATAAGCCATACATGTTCCCACCTCAGGACCGTTCCACTTTTCCCTCAGATACCTAAATAAATAGTTCAATTCACTTCCTTCCAGGCTTTATTCAAATGGTGTGTACTTTGAATTCGGTTTTTCTTGACCAAATTATTTGAAAACTGCAACACTCATTCCAACCCAAGATTCTCTATCCCCTTTCCTCCTTTATTTTTCCCTTAACACTTATAACTATCTAATATAGTATATATTTTGCTTATCTATTTTTGTCTCCACTGATTAGAATATAAATTCCATGAGATCATGTCAACTGCTTTATCTCCAACATCAAGGACAATACCTGATAAATACTGTACTGCCCAGTAAGAATTTGTTAGATAAATGAAAACTATCTTTATATTAGATACCATCAATACTACTGTTCAGCAAAATTACACATATAGCAATTTTTTAACTTTATCTGGGGAAATATAATAAACATACCAAATGAATATCAGATATTTAAGGCAATCCCACAGCTTGTATTTTGAAAACAGTGCTTTACTCGAAGGGTAAAGCATCCCACCATCCCAACTTGGTCAACTGTGCTATTCAGAGACAGATGAAATCCAGAAACAGTATTTGTGCAAGAAGGTGATGAGTTCAGTTTCTGACAACTTTGAGACATCCTCGTGGAAATGAAACTGAACAAATAAATCTGAAGTTGAGAATATCTGGGCTGGAGGATTCGATATGGAAGTCCCTAGCATACAGATGATATGTGAGGTTGCTGTAATCAATTCTGGTTACAAGTAACTCATTCAGATTTCCTTAATAGCAGTTTGCCATGAAAATGAGAACAAGAATCTCACTAAAATTTAGGAACTGATATAGCTAGGTTTCATGGGGAATTGAAAGTAATTTTGAAAACAAACAGAAAGGTACTTTTGGTCCAGCAAGCATCACTTGCCATTATGGTGCTTCAGCTCTACTTGGCAGCATCTTCTACTTCTGTATGCTACAAAACATAATCCATCTCACCCAAAGTCTATGTATTTTTGGGATTCAGTTGCCTTACAGCCTTAATACCTGCCCTTTTTTCATATTCCTTTTCTTTTTCCAACTTCTTACACTTGTACTCTATTTACATATATAAATATATTTAAACTCTTGCAAAGTATTGGATGTAATTTATACACTGTCTTTCCTGTTGTACAAATTTTCATGCCAGACTACAGAATGTCATTACAGAAGTTGCAAGAAAAGATAAAATATGGGAGTATAGAGAGTAAGGAGGAAAAAAAAGAAACCCCATGAAACAGTAACGTTTTATAGCTGAGCAAAAGAAAAAGAATCACAGAAGATTACTAGAATAGAGTGAGGAAGAAAACCCAATGCTATAGAAACCAAGGAAAATACGGTTAACAGAATCAAATAATGCAGAAAAGCTAAGTGTAATAAAGATTAACTGGATTTACCAATGAGGTCACCCTGGTAATAGCAATTTTTTCACCTACTTTTAAATATCTGAGGTTTTCTATGTATTGAAAAAGATTATCATGCTCATAAAATATAAAGCTGAATAATCAAGTGCTCACAGACCCATACTGCTCTGTTATAGCGGGTTTCTATCTCTTGTAACAATGATTCACTAATGCAGTTATTCTCAACTGACAACTCTGGAGTAGGTCTTTTCAGAATCTTGGGAAACTAAGGGGATTCTGTGTAGTTCAAAAGGCTCCATTAAAACTCACTATCTTCAGGTTTTAATAGAAAGATGCTATCAAAGAGGAAAAAGAAAATACAAAATGCATAAGCAAACTTCGTTCTGCTCTGAAATAATTAGGTTAGGAATTAATATCTTGCAGCTCTACCCAGTATCAAATATTTGTGACTAATAGTTATTCCAATAAAAATGATGTTGTCCAAGACTATGTTCTGAGTAAAACAGAAGAGTCCAAGATCAAGACAGGTTTTATGCTAATGAAATTTATAAACTAATTATATATAAAATACACCCTAGGCTGCTAAATGCTAAATTTACAAATCAATGAAGAATTCTTAATCCATATAAATTACAAATATTCTAAAATCAATATTCCAGTGGAATTGAAGCAAATCAGAACAGCAATACCTTCCATATCAGCAGCTTCTCCTTCATCTTCCTCTTCTTCCTCTTCACATAGTGCTGAGCAATCTTGAAGCTTTATAGTGTCCTTTGAAATTAATTATATTTAAAATCACTTAAATATATTCATTAATTCAAACACTGAACACCCATGTGCTAGCATAGTGGTAACCACTGTTCTTATCCACAGGAAACTCAAACTCCAGTAGAAATAATGAATTCACATTCCAGTCATTAAAAGTAATGTGCTAAGTGCTGTGACTGAAAAATAACAAAGGTTATTATGGGAGCAGTAAGAGTCATCTAAGCTAACTATTTAAAAATAATTTCCAGTTGCACTTCTAATAAAACAGTATTTTTAGTTAATCAATTCATTAGTATTAGAAAATCAGCTCAGAATTATATTAACTTGTGCACTTAAATTTAAGGGGAAAAGTGTACATATTTATAAATCAAATATATTATAAGCTAAAATGTAAATCAAGCCCTATGATATTCTAATTTGTTAATAGCCTAGCTGAATTAGGCAGGTTATCAGACTTTACAGTTCTTAAAATGCACAAGATTTCAGTTCAATTTCTTAACTATATCAGCTCTAGAGTGAAAAAAAAACAGTACTACCAACGACAGGTCTAACATATGGCTATTGTTTTCACAAAATTAATATTCTGAAAATCTGAAGTGAGTGGATAAATTGAACATCCAGTTTTACCTAGCTTACATTTTACTTAGGGGTGGTTTTATTTACTACTAGTAACTTAAGTCATATGTTTAAAACTTAAATCATTCTTTTTTTTTTTTTTTTTTTAGACGGAGTTTTGCTCTTGTTACCCAGGCTGGAGTGCAATGGCGCGACCTCGGCTCACCACAACTTCCGCCTCCTGGGTTCAGGCAATTCTCCTGCCTCAGCCTCCTGAGTAGCTGGGATTACAGGCACACGCCACCATGCCCAGCTAATTTTTTTGTATTTTTAGTAGAGACAGGTTTCACCATGTTGACCAGGATGGTCTCGATCTGTTGACCTTGTGATCCATCTGCCTCGGCCTCACAAAGTGCTGGGATTACAGGCTTGAGCTACCGTGCCCAGCCAAAACTTAAATCATTCTTACACCCAAAACTGAAATCACAAGACTGCCTGAGTGTTTCAGTAATTATAAGAGGAGCTAATATCTAACAAATTAATCATTAAGAAAAAATTTAAAACTGGTGATATTTATACTTGATAAAGTAAAATACAATAGAAATTGACAACCAAAATTAATACTTGCATTTGGATGGCAAGAATTCTAAGCACTGTTATAAAAATTATTATTATTATTATTATTTTTTAGACAGAGTCACGTTCCATCACCCAGGCTGGAGTGCAGTGACATGATCTCAGCTCACTGCAACCTCAGACTACCAGTTCAAGCAATTCTCCTGCCTCAGCCGCCTGAGTAGCTGGGATTATAGGTGCACACCACCACGCCTGGCTAATTTTTGTATTTTTAGTAGAGACGGAGTTTCACCATGTTGGTCAGGCTGGTCTCGAACTACTGATCTAATGATTGCCCTGCCTTGGCCTCCCAAAGTGCTGGAATTAAAGGTGTGAGCCACCATGCCCGGCTGATAAAAATTATTAAAGAAATTACCACAGGCCTGTCCAAGAAAAACCCTTCTATCTATACTACTCTGCCATTTATCATTCCCAAAGTCTGAAGCATATATAGTAATGGCCAGAGTAAACAAGATCTTTGAAACAGCAAAGCAATTTGTGTGATTTCTCCTTAAGTCATTCGAATACTTCAAAAAGTCAGATTTCAAAATGATGAACTCTCAGGTCAAAGAACTGAATCTTAAAGCATAAAATTATACATGAAAAAAAAAACTGTTTCAGTTTCTATCACTTTCTGTTATGCCCCAGTTACAAATCCTGAAAAATCCAAATGACAAAAACACAGTAGCAAATGTGTCGTAAGACTAGGAACACAATTACTCCATCCAAATAGTCTATTCTCTAAGTGACTTGACTGTTAAAAAAAATAATTAAGACAAGGATGAAAAGATTTTATATTATTTTTCATATCATTTTAAACAACTACAGGTATATAAAAACATGAAGACAACTGCAATTGATCTCTCTGAGAAATGAAAAGCTAATATAATGCCTACAACAACCTAAAATGACTCAAAATTTCCATTCAGAAAAACTCTACCCAATTATATGTAATATCCCCATAAGTCATGCAATAAAACTTAACTGATTAAACTTCTATTCATTCAAAATGTCATAAATTTGAATGATGCAAGCTAAAGTTTGCTTTCGAATTTTCAAAAACAAATAAAACCCAATTACCAGTAGTTAAAGAAAATACAGAGAATGATTGAATTGCTTGTGGGACTATTTAAGCTACAAAATTTAAATGTTAATATATCATTAGCATTTACCAGTGAGCAAGCAGATAATTCCCCCACCAAAATTCTCTACTAATATGACATTTGGTACTAAATTTATTTTAAAACAAAAAAGTCATCTCTTTTAAACTAGCCTAGAAGTTGCTTCAGTCAGTGAAAATTAGTAGCTAGTACAAGTTACAATCTAAAAGGTGTTTTACTTAACCATGCTACAAATGAAGGAAAATAACACCCAGTTACACCTGGACTCCTTCAAACACAGAAGTGTAAGAATGTAATTTAATAAGCCCCTTGCTAAGATGGGTAACAAATGCCTTTCTTATATTTAAAAAAAAAATGAAGGAAAATAAGAGATACATCAGGCAGCAGTAGTGTACTGGGGTGCTGAGGGAGAAAAATGAGTGGGGAAGAAAATAGCTGAAATTTAAAAGAGCTTGACACTAAATAACCAGGGTTTTTATAAGAAAGATAGGAATGATTATATGTATGTGTGTATAAACATATATATAGACAGGCAAATAATGAGTCATTAAATTAAAAAATATAATTAATTAGCCAGTACCTTGTTTTCCAGTGTGAGCTCTTTAACTGCTTCGGTTATTCCTGTAATACCTATGTAAAATTCGGCAGAAAAGAATAACTAAGATTAAACTGCAAATACCCTATTTACTTATTAAAGCAATATAAAAATGCTGAAAATTCTCACAATTTCTCTGAAATAAGTAGGCAAATAATAGTATCTTTACAAATGAACTCTAATAGTCACAATGACACCTCCTCAAAATCTGAAAAATATATTAACTTAATATTTTACCATGAATTATCCTGTCATTCTTCACTTACTATTCCTTATTTACTTTCCTGGTTTGAATCTCTATCAGAACACTTGCTAAGAAAGAGAACAGTTTGGCCAGGTCCAGTGGATCATGCCTGTAATCCTAACACTTTCGGAGGCCAAGGTGGGTGGATCATCTTAGGTCAAGAGTTCGAGACAAGCCTAGACAACATGGTGAAACTCTGTCTCTACTAAAAATATGAAAGTTAGCCAGGCATGGTGGTGTGCACCTGCAGTCCCAGTTACTTGGGAGGCTGAGGCAGGAGAATCGCTTGAACCCGGGAGGTGGAGGTTGTTTTAGCTGAGATCATACCATTGTACTCCAACCTGGGCAGAAGAGCGAAACTCAGTCTCAGGTTAAAAAAAAAAAAGAGAGAGAGAGAGAACAGTTTAAGAAACTACAGGACGCATATGTACATTTTAATTAAACTTGCATCAAAATTTTCTCAAAAATCTATTAGTTATCTTAATATAGGTTGATTATCCCTTATTTAAAATGCTTGGGACCAGAATTATTTCTGATTTTTTTTTAGATTTTGGAATATTTGCATAAATACTTACCAGTCAAGTACCCTAATATAAAAATTCAAAATGCTCATTAGAGCATTTTATTTGAGCATCATACCAGTACTCAAAATGTTTTGGATTCTAAAACATTTCATTGGATTTTTGGATTACAGATACTCAATCTGTCTGTTACACGCCTCAGAAATGTAGGATACCCAAAGGTAGTAATATCATATCACATTTATATGGGGCTTTCTACTAAGTGTTTCCTCATCTTATGTAATCATTACAAGCACTACCTACGAGGATGTTACAGTAATAATGTCTTCCTATGAAGAAATGAAGTCACTGGAGAGATGACTTGCTTGAGAGTTATACCCAGTTAAATGATGGAACTGGGATTAAAATTCACACAAGCTAACTTTTGGTTCAATTCTCTTGCACTCCACTGGGCAAATACCTCCAAACTTACTTGTCTCAAAGAAAGTGTTAAGCAGGTGGCAGCACCACCAGTCAGCTAGATAACATTTCTACTGCAAAGTACCTGGTAATGTTAACAAAATGGTTTAGCAAGGATAAGAAAGACAGTAAGATGGCACTATCTAACGTCAGTAAAGAAAAACCCAAGTACAGAATATGCTTAGCTCCTTCGTTAATCTTCTAAAATTTTGAGATGTCTGTTCAACGTGCCTAAACAAAAGGATAAATAGCCCACTTTCACAAATAAAAGAGGTCAAAATCCATAGGTCTAGCACAAAGCTTTTACTTCATAGTATTTCTAGAAATTACTATATAATAGGTATAATTATTTCATAACAGTAAAACCCAAATTTCAACATACTGAATTGACACTACAAAATGACTGACTCCTGAACATAAAAACAAAGAAAATCAACCTCTTTAACTTGTCAAAATATAATAACGTAGCAGAATGCCATTAAAATACTTCTAAAAGGAGGACACAGTTGACAAACAAAAAGCAAGTTCAAATGACTCTAATGACGGTGATATTCTCAAGGGTGATGATGATTAATTTTACGTTAACTTGGCTAGGCTGTGGCACCCAGATGTTTGGGTTGTGGCACACCAGTCTAGATGTTGCTGTGAAGGTATTTTTTTGATGTAATGAACATTTAAATAGGGGACTGGATAAAGCAGATTAGCCTCCACAACATAGGGGGCTATCATCCAATTAGTCGAAGGCCTTATAAGAAAAAGACTGAGGTCCTCCAGAAGAACGAATTTAGCCTCCAGAATGCCTTGGGACTAAAGCTGCAATATCAACACTCCCTGAATCTCCAGTCTGCAAGTATTCCCTGCAGAATTCAGACATGCAAGCCCACATAATCACATGAGCCAATTCCTTTAAAAAAAACTATCTACCAGTATCTGTACTTATATCTATGCAACAATCCTCACTTATCTGTGGGGGATACATTCCAAAACCCCCAGAAGATGTCTGAAACCACAGACATTAAACCTTACTAATGCTGTACATAATGGTCGACCTGATAACTGAGTTGGCTTTTAAGTGACTACTGGCTAGGAAGCATATACAGGATGGATATACTACACAATTCATGTCCCGGGCGGAACAGAGGGGGATGGCAGATTTTATCGTGCTACTCTCAACAGTGGGGGCACAAATTAAAACTGATCAATTATTTATTTCTGGAGTTTTGCACTTACTATTTTTGGACCATGGTTGATTACAAGTAACTAAAACCACAGAAAGCAAAACCAAGGATAAAAAGGGACTACTCTGTACACATCCTATGGGTTCTGTTTCTCTGGACAACCATGACTAATACATGATCTAATAGGAGAAAAGCCCAGGAAAAGCAAGGATAAAGCAAGGGAAACAGGTGAATAAGGAACTAGTACCTGGCCTCATAAGTCATTAACTTGACATCAGAAACAATGCACAATCAATGGTTCCAGTCAGTCAACAGAGAATTTACTATTCATGTGTTGCTGACATCTTCCAGGCATGGAAAAACCAAAGCAGAAGAGTTAAAAGACTTGGAAAAGACTAGGTGGAAAAAAAAAAAAAAAAAAAAGGCTAACAGCACTACTCAGTAAGGGGAAAAGAAGAGTAATTTTTGAAATTATTTTTAAAGGTTTATCGATCTGTTATTTCCTCTAGGCTTTGATATAACACTCAACTCACTACTAAGCCAATAAATTTCAGATCAAGGAGCCAAAGTCCTGAATCTTTGCCTGTTATCTCCATAAGGAAAGAGATGGCAGCATCCTTTATTTGGAGTAGAGAAGAAACTGACCTAAGAAGGAACTTTACCTGGGCAGATACTTAGCCCTCTGTCTACTGCTATGAGTCTCAACTAACGGCAGCAATCTTTCCCCCATCCAACATTTAGCAACGTCTGGAGGCATTTTTGGTTATTAAAACTGGGCTAACGCTACTGGTATCTAGTGGGTAGAAGCCAGAGATACTGCTAAGCATTCTACAATGCACAGAAAATAATTATCCATTCCAAAAAACAGTGCCAAGCTTGAGAAACCATGTTCCATTACTACTACTAAGGATATACCTCCTAATCGCTAGGACTCAAAGGGAGAAAAACTTGTTTTTAGTATCATGGACTTAAACTCGGAGCACATTTTCTTCATCAAAACTAAGTCATCAATGGTAGTTAGCTTCAGCAGCCCAAGATAATATGCATTTACACAATTAAATAAATATAGTGGCTAAATAGTATTTCAGGACTTGGAATTTAAAAAGTATATTCAGGGTTCCAAATACCTTATGGAAGCATACACTTATAAAAGCCTTGTATTCAACTCGTTTAACAAATATTGACCAAACAACTTCTACGTCATGCACTGTGATAGATACTGAGAATTCAACAGTGAATCTCTACCTTCATGGAGCTTACAGTACTGAAACTTTCTTTCAGTTATCATTTAACAAATAATTATTAAATATTTAATAGGTATCAGTTCTCTGGGTAAAATAAATATGAATACAGTTACTGTCAAAGAGCTCATAATCCAGCAATGGAATGACAATGACATGTAAGCAAAAGACTGTAAAGCCAAGTAGTATGAACATTCCACATTTGTGACGTACTTTCTTTTTCCCCTTTCTTTATTTAAAAAGAAAATAATATTATTTCCAAATTGCAATGGAAGTAGTAGGTGTTACAGAAGTTTGGCTTAATCTGGTAGGGCACGGTGGCTCACACCTATAATCCCAGCACTTTGGGAAGCCAAGGAGGGCAGATCATGAGGTTAAAAGATCGAGACCATCCTGGCCAACATGGTGAAACCCAGGTCTCTACTAAAAACACAAAAATTAGCTGGGTGTAGCGGTATGTGCCTGTAGTCCCAGCTGCTTGGGAGGCTGAGGCAAGAGAATCACTTGAACCCAGGAGGTGGAGGCTGCAGCGAGCCAAAATCACGCCACTGCACTCCAGCCTGGTGACATAGTGTGAGACTCTATTCTATCTCAAAAAAGAACAAAGAAATTCGGCATACTCTAAAGGCTTCTTTTTATAATTTGTCCTTCTGCTTTTTTCATGTAAGTCTACTGGGACAAACTATGCCTGCCTTATGCATCCTCTTTTTTAAATCAAGGGTATTATAGAAGTTTGTGAAGAAGTTTGACTTAAACTAAATAAATGTCATTCTATTCTCCTCTTACCTGTGTTGTGATATGTATCTACCCATCCACCATCACCATCATCTTCTTCAATGATAGCTTCCAATTCATCTGAATATTCCATCTGTTTGCACCGCTTATAGCACGGCACTATAAAAAAATATGGTAAATACACTTACTAGCAAATAATCTGCTAACCATAAATACATTAGAAAGAAGAGCTTATTCCATAAAATAGGGTGTTTATACCACCAAAATACTAACTGAATATTATGTTTCACTTTGAAAGGTGATTAAGAGTTACATTCAGCCCAACAGACACAGAATTATTTGGCTACATTTACCTTTTCCTACATTGCTTTGTCAGAAGACAAGTAGAAACGCTCTATTAGGAAGGTTCTATGCATTCCTTTACTATGATGGTCTGTGAAGAACAGCAGGCTGATGTCAGAGATATCACTGTTCAATTTCGGTCTAATGAATGATAATACCTTATTTTAATGGCTGTACTCTCAGAAGATGGAGCTACCTGCTGTCTTACTCAGTGGTGGTAAAAGTGACCTCTTGTTTTCAAGGCTAAAGTAACTTTCAATATAAATTTTGTAATTCGTATTTAAGTCCCAGTTATTCACAGTGGATAAAACAGTTTAAAATTCACCAGCCTTCTGATTTTTACTTCTTTATACCAAACTGGTAAGTTTTTCATACAGCAAATGTATTAACATGTATTATTATTCATAAGCCTAAAATTGGATAATTATATGGTAAAAACATTATGGTATAGGGTCAAAAACTGCTTTTTAATTTCCTGATTTTTTTTAAACAACAGGGTATAAATTATCACACTTAGTAAAAAAAAAAAATATGCTATAGAAAAAAAAAAGCTGCTGTTTTGTACATATTATTTTCCCTTTCCTATAATGAGTAAATTGGAACAGAAATAAATGTTTTGTCATTAGTTAGGGACCATAACCTTTTGATACTGTTTTAAAATTTAACTTCATAAATAAAACACTACCTGTCTTGGCCAGGATGGTGGCTCATGCCTGTAATCCCAGAACTTTGGGAGGCTGAGGCAGGTGGATTACCTGAGGTCAGGACTTCAAGACCAGCCTGACCAACATGGAGAAACACCCTCTCTACTAGAAATACCAAAATTAGCTGGGCATGGTGGCAGGCACCTGTAATCCCAACTACTCCAGTGGCTGAGGTGGGAAATCGCTTGAACCTGGGGGGCAGAGGTTGCACTGAGCTAAGATTGCATCATACACTCCAGCCTGGGCAACAGAGCAAAACTCTGCCTCAAAAAAACACAAACCATAACAAAAAAACACAAACCACTACCTCTTTCAAAATATTTTTGTGTCCTTCAATGACACAACAGAAAATAGTATCTTTAGCTCTGTGCTTTTAGATGTCACAGGCAGTATGAGTTACATTTTCCATAAAAAAATTTAAGTCTAAAGAAGATTAAAATCAAACACCTAAAAAGATTACTATGAAGTTAACTTCAAAAAAGTCCACTTAGAAGTCTAACTTTTTCCTTACGGACCTCTTCCTTTATATCTTGACAACTATATGTTTTTAGCAAAAAGAAATAACAGAAAGAGAAAATAAAACTAAGGAAAAAAAATCTCAAGCAATAGAAAAAAACCAGAGAGCTTCATTTTAATATAGCTCTATGCAAAATTTACTAATACATATGATATAATTCTTACCATTTTTGGTTACCAAAAATTGTTTGCCTGTTGGTAGGTATGCCTTCACTTTCAATTCTTCCCCTGTAGCCCTTTAAAAACAGTGAAAAGCACCAAAATACAAAATATATTTTAATAGGCAAATATAGGGCAGAAAGGATCGCATACAAACCTCAAAATGACATAATCCATACCTCTCAGAAAACTGGCTTAAAACTGATTTGGGAAGGATGCATTTAAGTAATATATGTCAGGGCATGGAGAAAACACAACAATAATCTAAGTGAAATATACTAAGAGATGCAGATAGACCCAAGAGAATTTGGATTAAACACTAAACAGAAAAAAGGTAGAATAATATAGAACTATTAAGCAACTATTATGTTTGCCTCTAAACAACATCAAAATATCCTGCTTCTCAGTAAGTTGTATAATCTCTCACATTTTTAATCCTAAAGTAATGCTGCTCATCTTGAGAACAAGAACAGGCAGGAAAAAAAGCTGCATGACATTATATAACAATGTAGGTGGCTGGCAAAATCCCTCTTCCTATCGCTGTATTAAAATCAGAACTAAGAGACAAAAGATACTTTGAATCATAAAATGACAATATTAAGAATGATTATTGAAAAAAATACTTTTATTGAGTACTTATTAAGTATGGAACTTAAGTCTCCAACACCTAATTTTCAATTATTCTTCATAACTCTAAGCAGTAGAAAACATAAATATCCCATCTTATAGATAAGCAAACTAAGATTAAAGAGAAAAAGTTGCCTATGATCACAAAACCAGGTGGCAGAGCAAGGATCAAAGCCAAGTGACTTCAGGACTCCTATTCTTAAACACTATTCCCTCTATCTACAATATTTCTGAGCTGCTCTGGCACCTCTTATGAAGAATTTGTGGGTCACCTGAAAGTGGTGAGAGGTGGAATGGTATGTGGTGTCTGTCACAAACATATGAGCATACATTTGGAGTTCTGCTGCCTTTTCAAGCTTCGGTCTAAAGTTCAAACCATAGATCTGAGCGTAACGTAAAGTTAGGAAACGCCCAAATATTATTTGACAGCCTTTTAGGCTTCTTTCGACTAGTCCCAAGTCTCAGATTCCACAATGTCACAGCAACACCCAATGTTCTGAGGAAAGAGTTAAAATAGGGTCAGGATAACACTTCTACACATGAAGGTATAAACATGGAAATAATCTGTCTCTAGCATTGATTTAAGATAAATTTTTCCTTTGGCCCAGAAATTCAGCCAAAAATGTAGACACTGAAGTAAGGCATGACTGAGTTCTAAGTTACAATAAAATTATTTAAATCATAATTCATAAAATGGAATAAAACTACTAGTATCTGCTAAAAAAAGATTCAGTCCATATACACAAGCCCCTACAACAATTCTATAAATCAAATGCTTAAACTACTTAAACAATTAAAAGCTGGTAGAATAAAGAAATATCAATGAAGAAAATGCATATCATACTGGAAAAAAAAATCCTAAATCAGTTATTTTCACAAAATGCATACTACTGTAAACCTCATGATCCCACTGATTTGAAATACATATAAATTATAGGCCAGAACCCAGCTAAATATAGTTTTAATAGAAAATTTGGAATACAGTAAAAAAACAAAACACCCTTATTAAATCAGAAAACTTCTATGACATGAATTCAATTTTAAATATGGAACAAAAAACACATGAGAGAAAGAAAAATATGTAAAAACAAACTTCAAACCTTAGCCTTTTTGATACATAAATAATGCCGTACAAAATAAAGAAGAATTGATCAAAGCAGTGACAACTGTTTCAGCTACATGGTAAATATCAAAATGAAGGAGAATCAGGCCACAGATGAGAGTTTCAACACTGGTTTAAAAAAAAGTTTCATTATTTAAGCTCTTTCGATATTAAGAAAAATATTATCAATTGGAATCTTGTTAATTATAGAACTCATATCCCCAGTCAAAACTATACTTTTCAACTATAATTGGAAAAAATATCATTAAGAGGAAAAAAAAAGATAGAGCAAGTTAAAGCACCTATATCCAAACAAGGTGATAATTACAAACAATTCTAGTTTAAAGAAAACTTTTGCCAATACTGGGATCAGTTTTTCAGCTACCAACAGGGAGTCATTATCATTAAGTTTGAAAGTAATAAAGCACTGTTATGATTCAGAATATTTTAAAATACACACTGTGAAAACCACTAAATTGCTTAAAGTACTTTAGTAATTAAAATAAAAGCTATTAAAAAAATAAAAACTTAAAGCCTCGTAAAAGCATTTATAGGTAAGGCCTTAATTGGTATCATAAACCTTTCTTTTAGCTTTAGCTAGTTTCCTAAAGATGGAGCATACTTTAGAACCTTAACAAAAAATGTTTATGTCTTATATTTTAAAGCAAATAAAACTGTAAAATCTCTGCACTTAATAATGCCATAAAAATGTTCAATAAATTGTTAATTTGAAAAAAAAAACCTGATAAAATTTTGAACTATTGAACATTTATTATTCCAAGAAACAGAAGATCAGACCTAGTCACTATAAAGAAAATAGATATTAGTAAAGGAAGTAAATGCATTTTTCTCAAATAAGTCCATCTGTTGTGTTAACAAAGCAAAGTAAATTAGGTGTAACACCTACTTGTTCTTTCTTTACTTTGTGTATCACTGGGAGTATTGTTCAACAGAAAAATCTGTTGGGAGGGTTGAACTGGTCATTCTACTTTTCATCCATTAACCTACTTTGCAAATTGCTGTAATTTCAAAGCCAAGCCTTTTACTAATTTTCTATTCTTTACTCAATATTACTTACCATTGCCATGTTGGACAGTGGTGGACTAAGTGATCTCCAGCTGCCACAAACTTTTCAAGATTTAGAAGGAATATGAAAAAAAGGAAAAAGAAAAATCAAACATCACTTAATGTGCAGGGTGGCAAAATACCAAACGGATGGCCCTAGGTAACACTGAAATCCAGTACAGTAAGCAATTAAAATATAAACAGCACCAAAGCTGCTCTACCAGCCTCAAGATTTGTTTTTGATTATGACTAAACTGCAAAGTTTTTTAATGTCCACAAAAATTCAGTTTTTATCATTGGATTAAGTAATGCCAAAAGCAGTATCATGAAATTGATACAAGTAAGGCTATTAGATTCAAATTGTCAAAATCCATTTTAAGGACACAGAAAAGTGGACACATCCTTGCCAATGATTGAAAATTCAATAAAATCTGAAAAAAAAATACTAAAATAAATACAAGTCTATAATATAAGCCTACTTTATTATACCAGAGGGCACATATCTTCCTCTTCTTTTATTATTTTTAAAACTTAAAGTAACTTTGGAAGCTTTTTTGCACTCCTAAAGAGAGAAATGTAGTGCCAAACAATGGGGAAAAGTTAAAAGCTTTTTGGCCTCACTCTGCAAATACCTACAAAATTAACAAATTGAATCATCTAACAAATCTTAGACTTTCAAAGCAGGCTGAATATTGTACACGTTTTTGTTTCTCTTCAGAAATAAAAACCAGACTCAGGGAGATACACTTTAACCGTTTAAGAACTATCAATTTAAATGAACTTGTGCTGATCCTTCTGACGAAGAGAAATCCTGCTTATTTCACAGAGCAGAAAATGTAATAAGTCTGTTAAGCGTAACTGCAATGTCCCAACTCAACAGGAGGCACATATACTTGCGAAATTACTTCTATTGCGCAACAGCTCTAACTCAAAATCTTGTACTGTTCATGGGTTTATTACACAACAAAAAATTACAAAATATTTAATCTCTAATACTCTTCTGAGAAAGTATGTATACATAAAATACTCTATTTTGAGAAGTCTATCAAATAAGAATTCTAAGAATAACCTCTTTTAAGATGAAACATCAACAAGATACAAGATATAGCAACTGAATTCCTAAAGACAACTTTATGTTTTTGTTCTTTTACTTCAAATAATTATTATTTAAATTGCTTAAGTAAAGACAAAAAACCGGGGCCGGGCGCGGTGGCTCACGCCTGTAATCCCAGCACTTTGGGAGGCCGAGGCGGATGGATCACGAGGTCAACAGATCGAGACCATCCTGGCCAATATGGTGAAACCCCGTCTCTACTAAAAATACAAAAAATTAGCTGGGCATGGTGGCGTGTGCCTGTAATCCCAGCTACTCAGGAGGCTGGGGCAGGAGAATTGCCTGCACCCAGGAGGCGGAGGTTGCCGTGAGCCGAGATCGCGCCATTATACTCCAGCCTGGGTAACAGGAGCGAAACTCCACCTCAAAAAAAAAAAGTAAAGACAAAAAACCAAAATAAAAACATTAGTCTCTTCCCCAAGTTTTGAGCACTTTGTGGTCATTGCAACCAGATGCTCCATTTAACTCCGTGGTTATCAGGAACTAATTTATTACCATCAAAATAATTTAAGAAAATGCAAGCAAAATAAATAATTAAAAATATTCCTTCATTTTATTGCCTTGAGGTAACAAGACTAATATTTTGTCTCAAAGTTCCTATAGTGATTGTACTTAAAAAATAACAAGAACACTAGCAGGCAAGAAAAACTCAAAAATAAAAAAAAAAAAGACTTGTACTGATACTGAATACACACATGTGTACATTTGCCCTCATTAGCAATGATCATCATTACTTGCTTCATATGTTAAAATGAAATAGGACTCACATTTCTCAATGATCAATACTGCTTGTAGCAGCTTTTTCTTAGAGACTAAAGATGTTCTCTTGTGATCTTTATTATCAATACATAGTACTAACTCCAACAAGATAGAATCAATATTTACATCTTGGTGAGCAATGCCATTCCTCAAGCTAACCTCAATTAACAGTATTCTACTTAATCGACTCATACACACATCCAACATTAATTTTGTTTTGACAATACAGTATTAGATACTAGCTGCCTCTCTTTTCAAGCACAATATTGCCACACCTCTGAATGAAAACAAAAAGATAGCTGATGCCTGGCAGAAACCCAGAAACATTAAGAGGAAACAAATGAACAAATCAATTCAGTATATAATATTTACACAAAGCAAATGATGCCTTCCCATCTCCTCTTCCAGGCACATTCTACTCTAACTCAATCCTGTCATTGTGCTCTATCCCAACCGGGTATTATGTGCTAGGCACCCAACTGGGCTAATTTGGCCTTGAATTTTTTCAGAGACAGGAAAATTCATAAATTGATTGATGTTGTAATTAAGTGTAGCAGTTATTTATTCTAGGATGAATTTTTGTTTTGAAACTGCTTAATTCTATCCAATGACCACAGACTTGCATCTCTAACTGCAACCATCTATTCAACAATTAGTCATCTTTACACAGAGGAGATAAAAACCAGAGTGCAAGAAGAATAGCATACTTTCATCTCTGCTCTTGATTTCAGACACTTCAAGAGCCATGTTCAAATTACAGCTGTTTGGCAAGAATGTTAATGATATCCTTAAAATCAAAACCTAGTTTTATTTGGCATTCAAGGTAATGAAACCTAAGACAGAACAGGATCTTTACAGAATGTCTAGCCCACAACCCTTATTTCATAGATGAGGAAACATGAAGCATTGGCAGGGAGAGCTTAACTGATTTGCTCATTAGGAGAAATTACAGAAACAGGTCTAGAAGGCAGGTCTACTAGGTTCTTTCCATACTACCATGGGTCTTCACCAGATATAAAAAATAAAAAATTTTAGATAAAAGATGAGTTATGCAAACCATTCTTAAAACTCACAGGGATTTGGAACTAGACAGATTCCATCACAATTGAAAATTGAAAGATCAGTTAATTCTCTAGCTCGATGCCTTGGAACTTACAGAAGCAGCTTCAGCATACAAGGCTTATTTAAAAACATTTGTTTCAAAACAATGAATAAAGTTCTATTGCCAATGAGTAGTACTTTCATTGACAGTTAAAAAAAGACAAGCTTAAATTCTTTGTCTTTTATTAATTATCATAAACCCTAACCATTCATAAAATTGGAGCCTGAAAAGGTTTTTAGCCCAGTATTTATTTCTCTAGGGACAACAAAATAAACTACCTAAACAAAAAAGAACTATTAAGAGAAAACAGCATCTAAGTAGTAAGCAGTTTCCCAATGAGAAGCATGAAAACTCACATTTGATGTAGACAGAACCAAGATAGCACAAACACTACAGAGCTTACTGCACAGCTCAATATAACACAAATATAAGTGAAAAATAAGTGATACAGGACCCTTTTCCATCCCTTCTGTCACCCTTATTTCTAAATAAAGAGGAACTACAGAGAAATACGAGAAGTGGCAAATTGACAGGGAAGTTACATTTTTTCTTCTATGGGAAACCGAAATTCCTATAAATCACAAACAGTCACAAAATTTAATTTTACTGAAATCAAAGTTAGAATTCAAAATGTTTTCTTATGAAGCAGAAAAGTCACCTAGTTTAATATAATTGTAAAAAAGGCTTCAGTATATTTTCAGCACTCACCTCTTCTGGGGTGATTACACCTGTTTCCTTAAACTTGGATTCCTAAAGAAAGCAGAAAGAAAAGCAGTATTATATCTTGTTTCACTGTCAATAAAAATGTTTCTGGGGGCAATTATTTGCCTGCTGGTACCCTTCTAGGCAATGAAGCACACACACAAAAAAATCATTCTATCTATCTAATCTATAATCTATCTAACTAATCTACCTATCTATATCTATCTATCTGTCTCACTCAATGGTAATGACCACAGGAATATACAAGTCTAATGTAGGAAACAGACATAAAAATAATTATAATACTATCAGATCACTGCTATATCAGAGTAAAGTTCTATGTAGAAACATTCTAAGATTTAAATAAAAATAAAGCCTTACAATGATTCTGTGAAATGAAAAAATATCTTTATTTTACAGCACAGGAAAAAAAGATGTTTAGACATCTTACAATTCAGCCAGTCTTATTTAAACTGAATAATATTAGAAACCAAATCTAGAAATCATTTAGCATTTTCCCCTAATTCTCATCTCCACCAAGATATAGACACAATATCCTCTCCTCTAAAGCAAGGATGCTGTTAACTAAATTTTTCTAAACCTTAAGTTACATGTAAGATTTTCTGGTAGAGTCTACAAAAATGAGAAGACTTATTTATGAACATTATTCATTCAACAAATGTTGACTATGTGCCAGACACTATTTTGAGGCAGTGGGGATATTTAGTTGTGAATAAAATATACTCAAATTTATTCTTGCCTTCATAAGGAGTTTCAACTCTAGTTGAGGAAAAAAAGCCAAATGGTAAAGATTAACACAGCATGAAGAAAAAAGAAGCAGAGAGGAATCTGTGGGATTCCTGGAATCTGTTGGGGAGAGATGGTTATTTAAAACAGAATGGTAAGAGAACAAAGACTTAATTGAACAATGACTTGAAAACCTTAAGGCAAGGAATATGCCATAAGGCTTTAAGTGCCAAGAGCTTTTCAGATAGAGGAAAGGGCACATGCAAAATCCTGAATCAAGAGTGTGCTTAACAGAATAATAAAGAGGAGGTCAAGTTAGCTTAAGCGACCGCAGTCAGGGGATGGAGTAGATTAGACTGGGGCCTCTACCAATTAAACAGAGCCTTAGAGATGATTTTAAGAACTGCAGTGTTTACTGCATGTACACCCTCCAAACAAAATATGGTTTTTCTTTTTACTTGCTAGAAGAAGGCAAGTACTTTTTTCCTGAAGATTTTGTTTTTTCTCCCTGCCCTCCCTTACCTAGCAGGAAACTGTAAGGATTCTCCCTGTAAACCAACAGTTTGCACAGGAGGTATCAAGGAAACGGTCATTAATTCTTTCCTTTTCACTAAAAACATATACCATACATAATGACATGCTAACAGTTCCTTTTCAGTTTGGTGATCAAGTAAAATGACTCCTCGAAACATAATTCTACATCATAAATTTTATATTTAATTTGGGCAGTCTCTTACTCCTCTCTCCCTGAAACTAAAAAGTTGTAACAATGGTGTATTATTAAAATACTGTATACCTAGGTAGATATCATAGTCTGAAAAGGTAACATAATATGTAAAAACATTTAATTCCAATGTGAAAATTACTTTCCAATCTTAATTTGACTGAATAATCTTAAAATGACTTTCACAGTAAAGAAATGTAAGCAAACCAACAGTTGAAATTCTCATTTATAATCTCTGGTTTATTTCTTACTTGGCCAATAAGTCATCCTTTTAAAGGAGTTTTAGAAAAACGTATTTTAAAAAGCACAGACCTAATATTTCTCTTCGTCATGCAAAGGGAGCAAAGCAAAACTCTCTACTATTCTTAGCTTATTAGAGTATTTCACCCCCACACTGAGATTGGTACATTCTAATTGAAAGCCTAAAAACAACCAGAAAAAAACCAAGCAAGAATTTCCCATTAATTTACTATTCTTGCTCGCTTTTCTGAAAGCAAAAATGGACTTACAATAAAAAACTTACTCCAAAAGAGTTATAAAAGAAAAATTTGAAGGCAGTTCTAGAAGTTTCCCTTTGAAAAAAAAAAAAAAAAAAAAAATCAGTCCCTACTGCAATAGTTAATGTGTCACAATGTTTTACTCCAAAATCTCTGTACCGCTGCCAATACACTAAAAAGAGTATACAGCCAGGAAGGCAAGACGTGCCTTATTATCACTAATAACCAGCTACGGGTATCTGAAAAGCTTGGGAAAGAGGTTTTGCTCGTTAGAAGGGTTCAAGGTTATTAAATGAGATAAGATTGCCAATTTTACCTCGTTCCTCTGATACCGAAACGAGTTGGGATCCTACTCAAGACTTCACCACTATAGCGGACTTTCTATCAAACTTAAAGGAAGAGTGACATATGTCAAACACTAAATTCATTTTCTAAAAAGATAAGCAAAATCGTGGTTTAAAAAGTCGAAACGACTTCCAGTGTTTGGATTTCACGTTCTTCAATGTACTCAGCCGCCGACCACCTTCTAACCCGACGTACCCAACCGCGCAGAGTTATGACGGGAAAGGCAGGAACACGCACAGAGCGTCGCTCCAAGTTTACCCCCGAGGAGTCAGAAAGCCCTAAGGAACAGCCGGTAAGACTACGAGTGGGGGGCTGCACCTTTCCTTGTGTCCCGAGCCCTACGGCCTCCCTACACCTTGCCCCACCGGAGAAGACGGGACTTCTGCGGCGCTTGGTCTCTGCAGAGTTGAGCATGTGCCTGACAGCCCCGGGCAAGCCCGGCCTGGCTTACCTTGAGGACCGGGGTCAGGTACTCAGCCACTTCCAGTGCCTTTCCCTTCACCGTGTTAATCACATTCTGCATCCTGGGGCCGGAGTAGCGGCCGGCCCCGCGACGGGATGTAAAGGGGAGCCGAGTCAGGTGCCGGGGAGTCAGAAAATGTCCCCGCTGCCGCCGACTCTTATCGGCACCCTGCCGGCGGCACCCGAGGGGACGGGACGCGACGCGACGGGACGGGACGGGCGGGACGAGGGGGCGGGGCGGCAGGCACCGCGCGCGAGGACAGGGCGCGCGCTCCTTGCGCCCCAGGCAGCCGGCGACGTACCCGGCCCAGCTGTCACCCGGCCGCGAGGGAGGGTACCGGGACCGAGGGGAGACCCGAAGGGAGAAGCGGCCGCATGCGCGCCCCTCGCCCTCTGGGGAGATGTCTTTCCCCCCCTTTACTTCACTCGCGCCCCTTCCGGCTTCCCCTTGCTTCTCTCACTCTCTTGCCGTAGCAGCGCCGCCACTGGGGGCCTCACGTGACACTGGACTCTCCCTGCACGTGACAGGAGAAAGACCGCACTTGGGCGGGATAAGCTGCTTCTCCCCTCCTTCCGGAAGCGTAACACTGAACGCGCCTGCGCAGTGGGTGCCGGGTCCTCCTTTTCCCAGTTGGGACGTAACATGCTTTTTGCTCCGCAATTGGCGGCTTAGGAGCAGAGGCTCTTTCGCCTTTACCTACTGTAACTTCTCCGCGTATGGAGCCTAAATGCTATTGCTGCTACTACGGGGCCAGACAGTTACTGTCTCAGCTCTAGGATGTGCATTCTTCCACTAGAAGCCCTTCTGAGGGAGGTAACCGCGCCCTGCGGGCAAGCAATTGCGCGTGCGTATCAGGGAGAGCGCGCCAAACAAGAGCCCTACTGCGCATGTGTGACCAGAGTAGGCATTCTCTGACTGTGAAGGGAAACCTGGCTTCCTCCTATCAGGGAGGCGTCTCATTGGTCTCCTTTACGCGTGCGCCCAGTTGGGCTGTCAGTATTGGCATTTCTCCGCACTCCCCGCAGGCTCTTTGCGCTATTCCTACGGTACGGTGGGAGGCTTTGGACAAGTTACTTACTCGGCCTGGGGTTTAGTGTCTTCAACCTATCAAGATGGCCTTACACTCATTGATTCCTGCGATCTCCTCCATTTCAAACTGTAGTTCAGCAAAACTTTACGGCAGTATTTCAGGTATTTCCATTTTGGTTGTTACTGTAATGAAGTCCTTCCCAATAAGCCCTTTTTCCTCCGAGGGAAAAGAGGAGGAAAAAGCAATTCTGAAAGTCTCATCTTTACAGCAAAATTATTTACTAGTAAGAATAAAAGCTAGGCCGGGCGCGGTGGCTCGCGCCTGTACTCCCAGAACTTTGGGAGGCAGAGGCAGGCGGATCATGAGGCCAGGAGTTCGGGACCAGCCTGGCCAACATAGTGAAACCCCGTCTCTACTAAAAATACAAAAATTAACCGGGCGTGGTGGTGGGCGCTTGTATTGCCAGCTACTCGGGAGACTGAGGCAGGTGAATCGCTTGAGCCTGGGAGGCAGAGGTTGCAGTGAGCCAAGACCACGCTGCTGCACTCCAGCCTGGGTGACAGAGCGAGACTCTATCTCAAAATAAGTAAATAAATAAAGGCTAAATAATTGCTTTGTTGGAGAATTCTTTGCTCACCTGCTACCTTTGTCAGCACGTCTAATCTGGTTCTACCTTTTCTGTCTCTAGAATACTCCCTCTTATCAGATTTTGACTTTCATTTTCCTTTTCTTGTAGTTTCTTCTATACGCCTAAACTTTCTTGGTGCTGATATAGTCATAGCCAAACATTTTTTTAAAAATTCCTTTTCTGTCCTCACAATCAATGGTATTTGCATTTAGAGTCTGCCAGCAAGGTTATTCATGAAAGTTTTTCTCTTTAAGGCAATTAAAAAACAGTGGAATGGAACGACAGTGCTGTAGTCATCCTGTGTTATGCTCCTTGCCAACAATGTATACATTCCTGCTAGGTGCCCTATTCATTGCTTTAAGCTCAAGTCGCATCTTACTGGTGAAATATTCTGCCAATGAAGGTAAGTTAAGACTTGGTATATGTATGGAGCACTTCCATCTAATCACATTCTCTGTCTCACCTTTGGTTTTCTTATATACAACATGGAGATAAGAATGCCTTTTGCTTCATGCGAGTGATAAAGCATGTTTAAAATTTGATTCTTTAACCTTGCATTCCTCAACAAGAAAAATATTTGATGCTGGATGAAATGTGAGTCGGCCCTTTAGGAAAGAACCAGTCGTAACATTTGACTATTGTTTCAATCAACAGGTGTTTCTGGACCTAAAGCAAAATGGGTCATTGCACCTTATTTTGAAGTAAAAGGATGTATTTGTTTGGTCACTTGGCATTTGTGAAGTACTTACTATCGTAATTATTGTATTAATGGTACAGTGTCAACATTGTATTGTGCAATGATATTGTATCAACAGTATAAATTATAAACTTTGATAAGTATGTATTTAAGAAATCTATTTTTTAATGTAAGGATTTAAGCAGACACTAATTGAATACTTCTTACTAGTTATTGAGGATACATAGAACCATGACATGACCTTTACTGGTCTACTTGGAGTGTCAGATGTGTACCTAAGTCTCTGTCGCAGTTAGCATTTATCTGCCAGGCACTAGGCTAAGTATTAGCAGCAGGGTTCAAAGTGCATAAAACATAGACCTTATCTTGAAGGCATAGTTTATTAGGAGAGACATAAATGTAAACCAATCATGAAAATCTATTATAATAACTGCGATAATTGATACATGCTGAAGATGCAGTGATTTTCTAGAGGATAAAATTATATATTCTGTCTGGTATGGGATGATGTGGAGTTTAAATGAATCAGAGAACACTGATTAGGAGACAGTTGATTCAATAGAAGTCAAGGTGAACAAAACAGAGGCAACAGCCAGTAAAAGGGAACAGAGGCATAAAAAAGCAGGATATGTTGTGAGAACATGTAATTCAAAATTACCAAGCAAAAAATTTAAGGACTTGTGGCCTAGCATGGTGGCTCACGTCTATAATCTCAGCACTTTGGGAGGCCGAGGCGAGTGGATCACTTGAGGTCAGGAATTTGAGACCAGCCTGGCCAACATGTTGAAACCCCATCCCTACTAAAAATACAAAAAATTAGCTGGGTGTGTTGGTGTGCACCTGTAATCCCAGCTACTTGGGAGACGGGGGCAGGAAAATCACTTGAACCTGGGAGGCGGAGGTTGCAATGAGCTGAGATCATGCCACTGCACTCCAGCCTGGGCAACAGAGCAAAACTCTGTCTCAAAAAAATAAGGGGGAAAAAAAAAGGTTTAAGGATTCAGAAGAGGGAAGGAATGTTTGGCTGGAGAGAAGTTGATAAGTTCAGACTGTTAAGGACTTCATATTCCATGGTAAGGAGCTGGAACCTTAGTCTCTAGGCCAGTCTGAGGGATGAGGGATACTTGAATAATTATAACTAGGAGGGTAAAATGAGGGACTCATGGTAGCTGGGTGGCAATGGAAAAGACAGGAAGCTTGATAGCCATTAAGTGGTTGTTGCAAATTCAAGCCTTAGGTGAAGAAGACTAACTCAGTGTTTTGGAGGTAATAAGCCAAGTAAGATAGATTAAGGAATATTCAGAACATAAAAGAGACGAAATTTGGAGAATGTATTGAATATGAATGTTTTATAGCTCCAAGGTTTCTGGTTTGAATGCCAAGTGCATTGATGCTGTTCTCAGCTGAGACTATTGGGAGGAAGAGCAGGTTGGGCAGAGTTTGAAAAGATTGTAGTTTTAGTTCTGTACTTCCATGAGGTCAGGAGCTGTGTCCTTAGGCAGTTTTCTGCAGTAGCTGGTATATCATGCACGTGAAGGAAATGCCAATTATATGAATAAATAGGAGGTTTTCATTTGGATATTTATAGTGGGCAGTAAGTTAAATGTTATAGAATATAGATTTAGGGACATTTATGTTAAATTGATGTTTGAAACTTAAGGAACAGAGAGAGGGCTCATGCACAATGAGAAAGAGTCATGGCCAAACTCAGAGGAATGCCAACATATAAGGTGGCATGTGGACACTAAGAAGAGCCTTTAGGAGAAATCCTAAGCTAGATGGGAGAACTAAATGCACATGTCTCAGAAAGGAAGGAAAGAGCTTGAAGACTGAGAAAGAACTCCAATATCATGATAAGATAAAGATTCTAAAGATACCTAATTCTAAAGATGCCCTTTAGAGTTAAGAATGAGAAGATGTTTGGTAATCTCAGAGAGGAGGTAGTTTTCAGAAATCAGATTACTTGGAGATAAGACCTGAATAGAAAGTAAGTAAAGGGCAGATAATGAATGTTGATACTGTTTCAGGGAGAGAAGGTATGGCAACTAGAGGGAGTCATATTTTATATTTTGTTTTTCAGGTGGGAGGGTTTTGAGCATGTTTTTAGGCCAAGCACAGTATGCCAGTTAGTAGAGAGGAAGATAAAAGAGATACACTGAAGCCAAAAGAGACGGAGTCAAGTATCTGAGGAGAAGGGAAGGTTTGTTTTAGATTTGTTTTGAGACACAGTCTTGCTCTGTGGCCCAGGCTGGAGTGCACAGGCACAATCTTGGGTCACTGCAACCTCCACCTCCTGGGTTCAAGCGATTCTCCTACCTCAGCCTCTCGAGTAGCTGAGATTACAGCTGTGTGCTAACATGCTCAGCTGTTTTTGGTAATTTTAGTAGAGACTGGGTTTCACCATGTTGGCCAGGCTGGTCTTAAACTCCTGACTTCAAGTGTTCCGCCGGCCTCAGCTTCCCAAAGTGCTGGGATTATAGGTGTGAGCCACTGTGCCTGGCCAGAAGGGTAGGTTTGAAAGGGGAGATTGGATGAATAGCAGGACCTTAGCCCCCTTCCTCTGGGGCTGAAGGGAAACCAGTGAGGATGAATGCCATATAGGAAAAGTATGTTAGTGTGGGCAGGAGATGTGTGGAGGGAAGTCACATACCATGTTGTGATATGATCTGGGATCGGCCATGAAAGGACTGCAAGAAAACTGCTGAAAAGCAAGAACAAGCTAAAGACAGTGACAAGGGTTTGAAAGTTACAATCCAAAGTCTCTCCTTCTTATGTGCACATGTTGGCTTATGTGTATCATGGCAGAGATCATGAGAAGTATCATTGGAGGATAACAGAGTGAGTTGAGTCTAGCATTCAACTGAGAAAAGGGAGGAGATATTTTAACTGTACTTTGAATGATGGGGAAATGCGAACAGGCAGATACTTAAATTCAGGTGAACATTTATTTATATGAAGGTTATTAATATGTTCCATTTCCTATAAGGATCTTCCATTCCATTTCACTCCACACACTTCCAGCGTGTCAAGTAGTGCCATTATAGGTTTAGAGGTAGTGCTATAAGAACAGAGATGAATAAAGAATTGATTCTGATTAGTTTGAGAAGGTAAAGGGAAACCACAGAAGAGAGGAAGAAAGTATTCTGAATAGACAGTGTCCATTTGTCTTTTTTCCCCCTATACTTGACCAGTTTTGGTTTAATGTGACTGAGAGATACAAGCAAATGTTTTCAATAGTGGAGAATATGCATTCCTGAAAATAGTATCTAATTAAGTTTATGTTTATCCTTGGCAAAATTGTAAAGCAAGTTGTTTGTAAGTATTTAGAAGAGACAGGTAACAGTTAAGATGAAATCATACCAACCAAACCTCACTTCCTAATTCTATTGATGTGCAATTTAGGATGTAGCTTCCCAACTCATGAGTGGGTTTGGGTGTATCCAGGTATTTCCTCTTAGCCCTAAAGGTAGCAGAGCCCTAGGCCAGCTCCTCTTGCCTCAGACAGTTTCCTTCTTTACCCCAGTGTACCATTTATCTTAGCCCAGAGTGCCAAACAAATATTAACGTTTTCTGTGTGTACCATGATACAAAGCAGATTGGAAAACTCTTAAGGGAATGTTACAGAGTGTACGTCAATTTTAGCAAGGCACACAGGTCATGAGAAGAATTATGAGCTGAATAATAATTCAGCAGGTCAGTTCATAACTGTTTGATGATCATTTAGCAGGCAGTCTCTAGTGCCACGCCACAGTGCTTTCTTTGCCCTTAGTCTTAGCCTCTACATATTTACATATTTATGTAAACATATTTATTAGCAACTTGGATGAAGACAGGAGAGGCATTTTTAACAAGTTCAAGGATGATAAAAAGCCGAATGGAATAGGGATAGCTCATACATTAGGTGAATGAATTGATTAAAAAATCCAAAGGAGCAAAGCCAACCGGAAGAAATTTAATATAAGCAGTATTAAATCCACCTTCTAAGTTTTAAAACAATTATAAGTTATAATGTATATACAAACATGTAGAATAAAATGTGTAGTTAAAAAATGTTTCTGCTACATTTCAGAAAACAAGTATGATTATCTTCCAACTACTGTGAATGTGTGCTCGGAACTGGTGAAGCTGGTTTTCTGTGTGCTCGTGTCATTCTGTGTTATAAAGAAAGGTAAGTCTTGAAATGGTATTATATGCTTGTTAAAAATCACAGGACCAAAAAATGTTAGAACTGGAAGGAACATTTTATATCATTTAGTTTAGTCCATTAAATTTTATACGGGGAAGCTAAGATACAAACATGAGTGTGTTTTAGAGGTAGAGAAACAAGCTCAAAGTATTATGCAGAGCTGCGCAGGAAGAGGAAGAGCTAGGACACCAACTGGTTTCCTAGTACCCTTCCTATTTCACTATCTTGTTACTTGTTCTGTGATGGTTTCACACAGTAAGTTACTTTTTATGCAGATTCAAGATTTTCTAAATCATGTGCTGTCTGACTTGAGATGTATCATATTTCAAAATAGTTCCCATTAGCTACAGGGAAGGTAGCATAGTGCACTGGCATCAAAGAGATTTTTCTGGGGCAGATTATTTTAACTTCTCTGAGCTCCAGTTTTCTGAGCTTTCACATAGGGATGCTAATTTCTTTCTCAAACGTAAGGTATATAGTCTTTCATGGAATGCATATGCTCTTTAATATACATTAATTCTTCAACTTAGTTACCCAGTTATTGGGCCTCAGCTCCCTCTGCCTCTTTTATCTACCTTCCCACATGAGGTAAACATAAACTTTAGAGCATTAGCGTTTGCCTGCAAGATGTCTTTTCATACTCCAGGGTTTCAGTCTTTGCAGTTTCTAGTTAGTGAATATATTTCTTAATCTCATAAAGCTCATGCATTATTTGCAGCGTGACAAAAACCTTAAACGGCCTTTCTGTTTTGTTTTACATTATGTCTGCTACAGTGCCTGCCTAAGTTTTTAGAAACCTAGAGATGGAATAATAACTGACTAGGATTACTAAAAGTGAACTTTCCTTTTATTTGTAGTTCCATATAAATAAGTTTCTATTTAGTATCCCCCTTTCTTGATCTGCCCTAGCCAGGGAACATTCCAGTATGAAGGCTTGATTTTTCTTTTTTTAACTTAATTCTAACTTGTTGATCTCCCTCTTGGCCTTATGCTCTTACAGCAGTAAGAAAAACCACATATGTATCCTGAGTTGCCTTAAGTAAATACTTCTGTTATCTGAAATTAATGGGAATTAGGATAATCAGTAGTCCTAAGGTTGTTGCTAATTGTCAGTGATGAAACAGTGGTGGGTTGAAGAGAGACAGCAATGAAATTCCATATTGTCTTTCATTTCTTAAGGTTAATATTCACTTATGGAGGCATGTTTTTAAAGCTCCCTATAAAGGATTGTATCAGTAATTAAGTGCAGTGTAATTTCTCTAAAAATGTGGTCATTCTCATCAAGGGCATTTATTTACACTGTATTTTTTTCTAAGATCATCAAAGTAGAAATCTGAAATATGCTTCCTGGAAGGAATTCTCTAATTTCATGAAGTGGTCCATTCCTGCCTTTCTTTATTTCCTGGATAACTTGATTGTCTTCTATGTCCTGTCCTATCTTCAACCAGTAAGTAAATATGACAAAGAAAATATCATTGAAAAGATATGGAGAAATAACTCCGAGAATGAATTTTTTTTAAATCATTTTTGTTGGCATTGTTAGTTTCTCGTTGCCCTCACTGGCCTTCCTGAGATTTTCCCAGAATTATCTAAGTACTTTATCAATAGGCATGCCAGATTCTCTAAATGGTCAAAATTACTGTATCATATTGGGCTGACTACTATGGGAGAGTTGCTCCCTAGACCAAGGAATCTGAAGCCACCTCTTTTTATGTAAAATAGTATGCCTATTTTCTGAGACATTTTATGGCCACTAAGCTCTAATATTAATCTCAGAATCCAGGACTTCCATCCAAGAAAACTTCCCTCATTAACCCAGAAAGTTACACACTCAATGAACCTTTCTTATACCTGTTTTAATGTAGTTTATATGAATTTTATCTGTATGGTTTTCTTTTCTGCTAGTCCTATCATTTAACCAACAAGTTCTTCAAGGGTAAGGCTTGTGTCCTCCCAACTGGAAATGCCATTTATGATTGATGATGCTGGAAATACTTCTCATCTTTCTTGGCATCCTTAGTGTCAGTTTAGAAAGCCATTAGTAATCCGAACTGGACTTGCTTTTCTGCTTTCACCTATTACTCAGTTTGGGTCATAATAGGTCACATGTATTTTTCCCCTTAATATTTTATAAAATGAAGATTTTTTTTTACCAAAATATGTTTTAAATTTCTTTAAAAAGTAATCTCAGGCATTTGATTATAAATAGAATTTTTATTGCTACCAGTCTTCTCTGTGAAGTTGCTTAAATATAACCAAATCAGTTTTAGGGTGGGATGAAAAGGAGGGCTTAATATAGAAATGTATTAGTCTGTTCTCACACTGCTAATAAAGACATACCTGAGACTGGGTACCTTATAAAGGAAAGAGGTTTAATGGACTCACAGTTCCACATGACTGGGGAGGCCTCACAATCATGGCAGAAAGCAAAAGAGGAGCAAAGTCATGTCTTATGTGGCTGTAGGCAAGAGCACTTGTGCTGGGAAACTCCCGTTTATAAAACCATCAGATCTCATGAAACTTATTCACTACCATGAGAACAATATGGGGGAAACCGCCACCATGATTCAATTATCTTCACCTGGCCTGGCACTTAACACGTGGGGATTATTAAAATTCAAGGTGAGATTTGGGTGGGACACAGCCAAAGGCAGGAAACTGGGCCCATTGATCACCTGAGGTTTTTTTCTTGGCTCTGTAATGCATGTTGCTAGTAAGTGTCCAGTCCATCTAGAATCTTTCCTTTCCTAAATTCTTGCTTTTTCGAGAATTGCCATCCCCAACAACATAATTATTCAAATTCAGTAAGTAAATATTTATTGTATTTTATCATATCCAACACATTATTAGCTCTGAGTTTGTATCTCTTTTCTGTGTCTCCCAGTACCAGAGCAAAATGGCAACTTCCTTATTATTCTTCCAGCTTATTGCTTTGCTCTTCCTTCCTGATTGTGTACAACCATTTATCTTACAGAATAAAACACATGCATACTCTTTGTATTGTTGTGCCTATGTTTATTTAAGGAATTAAATAGAGATGCATGGAAGGTTTGGGGTAGAAAGCTCTGATGTTTTATTTGTTTTATCTTCTTACGTGGAGTTTTCATAATTTTCAGAATTCATTAAGCCAGTCAGGGTGCGTGGTTAGGCACTTTTGCACTGCCCTTAATGTGATTCATCAAGGCCACTCTTTCCACACTCTTAACTTTCCTCTTTTCTTCTTACTCATCTCGTAACTAGGGGTTCAGAGGCATTTGTCTACAGAGAAGTACACTGAGAAAACCTTAAAATGGTTGTTCCCGTAAATATTCAATAGAAAACAAACAATGTTATATTCTTGGAGTTGTTACCATTTTTTATTGTTTGCTCTTATCTTTAATTTAGCTGCATAATAGCCATGTTTGCTTTAATTAGTGGGTATATTTTGGGGATTTAATTACCTTAAAGTGAAAACAAGCAGAAAGGTAGCATGAACCACATCCTAAGATTTGTGTTAAAAAATTACTACTATTGTCAGATCTAATTATTGGGAGCAATAATGGAATTTCATACTTTCTGAGCATAATGCATACCTGTTCAGATTAATACTCTCATGAGTGAAATAGGACGTATTCATAAAAACAAACAGTTATAAAATCTGACTGATACATTTCTGAATGTTTAGAACAACTTGAATCAATGCACAGGACCTCAAGTATGAGTTTGGTATTGAGTTACTGGAGTGCAGCCAGGAAAATTGATACAATTCCTAGAATGGTAAAGATGCTTAAAAATAATCTATATTTCAATTTTCTTACTATGTTAATGGGCCAAACAGTACCTACCTTCTATGTGACCATAGAAACAGTATTAAAAATCTTTAAGGCACTTTGAGAACTTTGAAAAGTAGGCTTCATAAGCATAATAACTGTCATTTCTACACCTAAACCTTTAGAATATATAAGTAATTTCAGATCTGTACATAAAGATTATTTACACAGGCAATGCCTAGACAATAATTTGATCATATTTGCATAAATTTGACAAGCATCAAAAATGGAATTTAATCCTCAAGTGAAATGGCTTCCCTAATAACCCCCTCTGGGTTTTGACTAAAAAGCTTTTTTTGTCAGGTGAACTGCCAAGCTAAGAAATTTCTGAGGTCAGTACTTTGAATTGTAACTCTATCTTTTCTTTCTTTCTAGGCCATGGCTGTTATCTTCTCAAATTTTAGCATTATAACAACAGCTCTTCTATTCAGGATAGTGCTGAAGTAAGTAACTTGCTGTGAAAACATATATCATACTTTAACACAGACCAGTTTCAGATGATATTCCCAGAACACTGAACCCTCAGAATCCTAAGGCCAGCATTTTGTTCCTAATCAGCTTTGTGTATCGGGCACGTTTAAGCCATATAGAAAGCAGCTCTAGTGCTAGTCCATTTACATCCTCTGCTATAAGATGAATGAAATATCTTGAGCATCTCAAAAATAAGATAATTGACTGTGTTTTCATTAGTATTTTTATATTTAGTGCCAGATTTTCAAGAATTAATGAGCTTTTTATGCAAAATATTTCTTCACTAATAGGGAACCAAATGGTTTCTAAGAGTGTTAATATATTTGTAATTTGGAGTTTGGAGATGATAGATAATGGCAAAGTTTTCATTAAACTACTTGAGATGAGGGTATGGTTTAAGCACTAACTAGTAGAGGATTTGTGTGAACAATTTAGTCAAAGTTATAGTGAAGAATGATAAGTTTTTAAGCTTTTAAAAATGTTATCGCCTATTTTTACTATCTTCAAGAGGACCATTGAATAACATACACATTTTTAAGTAAACAAGATCTGCTCGAGAGCAGGTAAGTAAAATGGTTCCAAGATTATTTCCATATTCCAAGATGATTAAAGGATCACTAATAAGGGAGTACAGGTCTTAAAAACATGTCTTTTTTAAGTGTTTGTCATTCACTTTAAATGAGTACTGATGGATTTATATTCAAGTTGTATAGTATAAAAGTATTATGTCAAAATTATATCAATTTAAAACTGAATTTACTGAAGATGAGACTAAAAGTATGTATTGTGTGACTTGAAGTTGGCCAGTAGCTCTAGTTCTACCCCATGGTAAGTATTCCTTTTTAATATCTAAGCATTTAACTATTTGTATTAAGAAAGTTAATTCTAAGTTTAACTAGATCTAAATCTATTTATGCTATAAATTTTTTTTTTTTTTTTGAGACGGAGTTTCGCTCTTGTTACCCAGGCTGGAGTGCAATGGCGCGATCTCGGCTCACCGCAACCTCCGCCTCCTGGGTTCAGGCAATTCTCCTGCTTCAGCCTCCTGAGTAGCTGGGATCACAGGCACGCACCACCATGCCCAGCTAACTTTTTATATTTTTAGTAGAGACGGGGTTTCACCATGTTGACCAGGATGATCTCGATCTCTTGACCTCGTGATCCACCCGCCTCGGCCTCCCAAAGTGCTGGGATTACAGGCATAAGCCACCGCACCCGGCTATGCTATAAATTTTAAATATTTGCTTTTAATACTAATTGTAATGATATTGATTGCATTTTTCCAATTTTAGTAGTAACACTGATATGAATTAAAGTTCGAAACAAGTCTACGTACTCCATGTCTTGTTTTCAGAGGGATAATATCGATTCTTGTTTGCTTCGTTGTTGACGTCTCTCTGTTTTGAACCCTTGGAAAATAATGTGCTGATACATCTAAGATTGTGTTTTACGAGAACGCCTTCTAAGTATTTTATTGCATTTTTTTTTTTTGAGACATAAGTCTCTCTCTGTCACCATGCTAGAGTACAGTGGCACCGTCTCGGCTCACTGCAACCTCCTTCTCCTGGTTTCAAGCAATTTTCATGCCTTAACCTCCCAAGTAGATGGGACTAGAGGGGCACAATACCACACCCAGCTAATTTTTGTATCTTTAGTAGAGACAGAGTTTCACTATTTGGCCAGGCTGGTCTCAAACTCCTGACCTCAGGTGATCTGCCCACCTTGGCCTCCCAAAGTGCTGGGATTACAGGTGTGAGCCACTACATCTGACCTTATTACATTTTTTAACTCTTTTTTCTAAATGTCATTAAAAAAAATAAATTTACCATCTTAACAATTTTTAAATGTACAGTTCAGTAGTGTTAAAAATATAGCCACATTGTTGTGAAGTAGATGTTGAACTTTTTCACCTTGCAAATTTTAAACTCTTAAGTCCATTAAACAACTCTCCTAACTTCACCTTACCCCAACCCCTAATGACCGTCATTCCACTCTGTTTCTATAAATTTAACTATTTTAAATTCATCATATGAATGGAATCATACAGTATTTGTCTTTTTGTGACTGGCTTATTTCAGTTAGGATATTGTCTTCAAGGTTCATCCATGTTGTAGCATGTGACAGGGTTTCCTTTCTTTAAAGCTGAAAAATATCTCATTGATATATTATTATTTCACATTTTGTTTATTTTTGCATTTTGAAGTCAACTTTGTTCTATTTTGATCTTTTTGAAGTCGGTGGTGTGCATTGGTTTTCCCTATTTAATTTACTCTTTGTGAATATTTGATGGTCCCTTTCCCCTTTGCAATGAAATTTTGACCTAGGAGTAGCAGCTTAATAGTTCTATCACATGTTCTTTGTTTGCCACTTTTCATTTAGAATATTAAATCTGTTCTCTTATATTTGATTGGAGCAGAACTATCAAATTGCTTTCCCATATAGGTAAAGAATACAAGGCTACAAAATAAAATAATAAAGAGTTAAAAAAAGAAAAAATAAATAATTTTTACATGTTTTAAACAAATATAAGGCTATACAAAAGCAGGAAATAGTAAGTCTGGTAACTATTGCAAGGATTACTTGGAGGAATTTGAAAGTGGGAAAACGAACAATATTATCATCTAAATGTCCTTTTGTGTTTTCTAAAGAAACCTTACATGAATGTGCAGATTTGTTCTTTGCAGTATAAGCCACTGGTTTATGGTAGAAACCGGCAGCAGGCATTACACCTTGTAGCCTGCCTCACTGGTTTGCTTGTAACTTAAGCAAAGTTGTATAATCTTGTTTGGTTTGGCTTTGGGAAATATACTAACCTAAACATTGAGATTTGGAGGCAAAAGGTAACTAAGACCAGAACTTGCTTTTACCTAAAGAATATGTATAAGTTTCTCTGATTTCCTCAAAGAAAAGGTATGGAAAGTGCTACTCAGTGGTAGTATAAGAGTTTCTCCAGAATCATTCACTTGACAAATTTTATCTATGATTTCTCATTATAAATCTGCCCCTTAGCACTCTCTCTGTGCTACTAAGAAATGTGTTTTGTACAGGTTCTTGAGAAAACAATATTATGTGAGTCTTTCCAATTAATTATTTTTATACTCTGCCTTAGTTTACTACCACCAAATGTAGTAGAAGTGCTCTTACCTGACACGATTTGAACCTATTGGTTAGTTGCTAGGAAAACTTATAGTTGCTAGTGGTGAATCGTATACATGAGTATATATATAAAATATCTAAACAGTTGGCCGGGGCGGTGGCTCAAGCCTGTAATCCCAGCACTTTGGGAGGCCGAGACGGGTGGATCACGAGGTTAAGAGATCGAGACCATTCTGGTCAACATGGTGAAACCCCGTCTCTACTAAAAATACAAAAAATTAGCTGGGCATGGTGGCGCGTGCCTGTAATCCCAGCTACTCGGGAGGCTGAGGCAGGAGAATTGCCTGAACCCAGGAGGCGGAGGTTGCAGTGAGCCGAGATTGCGCCATTGCACTCCAGCCTGGGTAACAAGAGCGAAACTCCGTCTCAAAAAAAAAAAAAAAAAATATCTAAACAGTTTATTGCAAAATATGTAAATGTACACGTATTCATCATTCTGATGCTGAACTAAAGCCCACCCTTTGAGTATATGTAACTGATTTAAATTCCTTAGGTCACCTATATGTTATTAGAAAGCAGCTTTTTTTTCCTGAATGATTTGTGAGTCTTCCTAATGCGTTCAACTTAGTTTCCTTAAAAACAGCTTCTTGTCTTTTACTCATAGTTTATCACTTATGTAATCATTATATAGTGACAGCAGTGAAATCACCTGACAGAAACACGTTTAGGAACGAGATTCTGTGAGCAAACAGTTCACGTGGGAGTAGAGGCCTTGGAAAGAGAAGCCTTCTAGCCACAGGCATTCAGCTCTGAGCGTCCATTACTGTGTTTTACTGGAGCAGAGGCCTCGGAAAGAGTAGCCTTCTAGCCACAGGCATTCAGCTCTGAGCATCCATTACTGTGTTTTACCGGAGCAGAGGCCTTGGAAAGAGTAGCCTTCTAGCCACAGGCATTCACCTCTGAGCGTCCATTACTATGTTTTACTGGGGCAGTGGAGAGATGAGTGAAGTGAGCTTCCACTGTGTTGTATCAGTTAAACTGAAGAACAAATTCGGTTATGCAGACTCAGTCGCCATTTCAGATTGTCAGCAGAGTTTACAGGGTAATTTATTCAGCTTTATTTTGTTTCTAAAAATCTACTATTTTTAATTTTTAGCTTAATCCTTAATAAATTTTACCTTCCCTAGAACAGTACCTTGAATGTAATTGTTTACAGAAGGTATGGTTTAGCTTAAAGATTTCTTTCAATTCTTTTTTCTTAATATCAATATTAATGAAAAATTTATAGCTGCTAGAAAACTTCTAAAGGGTTTGTACATTATGTCATTGCCTCACTTGTATGTGATTTGCAGTAATTAATTATAGAATTTTTTTTTTTTTGTAAAATGGGCACCCATTTTTCATCTCTGTTGTCATTCTATTTGCTTTCTACTACTTAATGTATACCAGCTGCACCTTCAGAAATTTAAGTGATTAGTTCACAGTTGTTCATCTGATGGCATAGGGTTGTGCTAACCCCATCACCAAGTTCTAGATCTGGTTACTTGAAAATTATATATGTATGAGAAAGCATGTAACACTGTGCACAGGTATGCTGCTACCTAGACTGGTCTGTGCATTTAGCAGTTTCAGAGTATGAAGCCTTGTAGAAGCATTGGTGAAATCAGACACAACTTCCTGTATGTGCCTCCTGGAAACTTAGAATTACACTTAGGAGGTGTGATGATGCAGAAGGAAGACATACAAACCCATGGATCAGATTCCTTCCTTAGTCTTTAAGTACATGACCTTGAGGAAATCAGTTAACCTGTTAGAACTGTTTCCTCCCTTATAGCAGGAATGCCAAAGTGCATGGTAGGTGCTTAGTAAATGCTCAGTGATATAAAAATTCTTGTAACTTCTGGTTCTCACCTATTGCTTTACACTTTTGCATTTGTTTATGTTCTTCTTTTCTCTTGGTGTTCCCCTTCTTCACCTAACTAACTGATCTTCAAATATCAAGATTTTCTTCCCCCAAGAGGCCTCTGACAATTCCAATGAGAGTGAGATATTCCTCTTTTCTTTGTACATTCTTGTTGCTTTTGCATGGAGACTCTTCCCTCTGCCTGTTGCATCTTTTAGCTCAAGTGTGATTTCCTCTTTGAAGCAATACCTATTTACAGATTCTAGTTTTCCTCAGTATACTCCACTTGTTCCATTAATCACTTTTCACACATACTGAAATCATTTAGTTTCATTGTTTTCTCACTATTAAAGCGTGAATTCGTTGAACACAGAATTTACATCTTGAACATCGTTTATCTCCCCAGATTGCCTGGCACATAGTAGCTGCTTATTAAACATCTGTTGAACTGAATGAATTGGCAAAACGGAATAATATAGATGCCCTCTATATCTCACAAGTTTGTTGCTAAGGAAAATAAATAAAGGATTTTAGGACTTTGTAAATTGAAATACTGCCCAAAATATCATTTTTCTTTGCCATGTCAGCCAACAGGTTGCTGTTTAATGCTCTATGATTAGGCCATGGATCTAGAGCTAGCCTTCTCCTTTAAATCTTTTTTAGGTTAGGGAAACTTTAAAGATTTGACAAAGCTTTGAAGGATCTCGGGCATGGGGGAAATTCATCTATATACAAGATTTCTGAAGTTCATCTACATTCTTTCTGGTTCAGGGAAACCAGCTTGAGAATCTCTACTATAACTTTATAGTAAGATAAAAGTTATTGTGCCAGAGGTCCAAGATAGTAGAGATTTAGCTTTTATCTTACTATAAAGTTACAGTAGAGATTCTCAACCTGGGAAACCAGGGGTTGTGCCAGAGGTTCAAAATAAGCTCTAGAGGTAGAAAAGAGGCCATGTTAAAATTCAACAGCCCTTTATGCTAAAAGCTCTCAATAAATTAGACATTGATGGAATGTATCTCAAAATAATAAAAGCTATTTACGGCAAACTCATAGCCAATATCATACTGAATGGGCAAAAACTGGAAGCATTCCCTTTGAAATCTGGTACTAGAAAAGGATGCCCTCTCTCACCACTCCTATTCAATATAGTACTGGAACTTCTAGCCAGAGCAATCAGGCAAAAAAAGAAATAAAGGGTATTCAATTAGGAAAGGAGGAAGCCAAATTGTCTCTATTTGTAGATGACATGATTGTATATCTAGAAGACCCCATCGTCTCAGCCCAAAATCTCCTGAAACTGATAAGCAACTTCAGCAGAGTCTCAGGATACAAAATCAATATGTAGAAATCACAAGCATTCCTATACACCAATAACAGACTTAAAGAGAGCCAAATCAAGAACGAACTGCCATTCACAATTGCTACAAAGAGAACAAAATACCTAGGAATACAACTAACAAAGAATGTATAGGACCTCTTCAAGGAGGACTACAAACTACTGCTCAATGAAATAAGAGAGAACACAAACAGATGGAGAAACATTCCATGCTCATGGTTAGGAAGAATCAATATCGTGAAAATGGCAATACTGCCCAAAATAATATATAGATTGAATGCTATCCCCATCAAGCTACCAATGACTTTCTTCACAGAACTGGAAAAAACCACCTTAAACTTCATATGAAACCAAAAGAGACCCCGTATAGCCAAAAGTCAATTGTAACAAAGCTGGAGGTGTCACACTACCAGACTTCAAACTAAACTACAAGTCTACAGCAATCAAAACAGCATGGTACTGGTACCAAAACAGAGATATAGACCAATGGAACAGAACAGAGGCTTCGGAGGCAATGCCACACATGTACAACCATCTGATCTTTGACAAACGTCACAAAAACAAGCAAGGGTGAAAGGATTCCCTGTTCAATAAATGGTGTTGGGAAAACTGGCTAGCCATGTGCAGAAAGCAGAAATGGGACCCCTTCCTGACACCTTACACTAAAATTAACTCCAGATGGATTAAAGACTTAAACATAAGACCTAACCATAAAAACCCTAGAAGAAAACCTAGGCAAAACCATTTAGGACATAGGCATAGGCAAGGACTTCATGAACAAAACACCAAAAGCATTGTCAACAAAAGCCAAAATAGACAAATGGGACCTAATTAAACTCCAGAGCTTCTGCACAGCAAAATAAACAATTATTAGAGTGAATCAGCAACCAACAGAATGGGGAAATATTTTTGCAATCCACCCATCTGACAAAGGGCTAATCTCCAGAATCTACAAAGAACTAAAACAGATTTACAAGAATAAAACAAGCCCATTCAAAAGTGGGCAAAGGAGATGAACAAATACTTTACAAAAGAAGACATATGAAGCCAACAAACATGAAAAAATGCTCATCATCACTGGTCATTAGAGAAACGCAAATCAAAACTACATTGAGATACCATCTCACGCCAGTTAGAATGGTGATCATTAAAAAATCTGGAGACAACGGATGCTGGAGAGGATGTGGAGAAATAGGAACACTCCTACACTGCTGGTGGGAGTGTAAATTAGTTCAATCATTGTGGAAGACAGTGTGGCGATTCCTCAAGGACCTAGAAATAGAAATTCCATTTGGCCCAGCAATCCCATTACTGGGTATATATCCAAAGGATTATAAATCATTCTATTATAAGGACACATGGACACGAACATTCATTGCGGTACTGTTTACAACAGCAAAGACTTGGAACCAACCCAAATGCCCATCGATGATAGACTGGACAGGGAAAATATTGCACATATACACCATGGAATACTATGCAGCCATAAAAAATGATGAGTGTGTGTCCTTTGTAGGGACATGGATGAACCTGGAAACTGTCATTCTCAGCAAACTGACACAAGAACAGAAAATCAAACACTGCATGTTCTCATTCATAGGCGGGCATTGAACAATGAGAACACATGGACACAGGGAGGGGAGCATCACATACTGGGGTCTGTGGTGGGGAATTAGGGGAGGGATAGTGGGGGGTGGGGAGTTGGGGAGGGATAACGTGGGGAGAAATGTCAGATATAGGTGATGTGGAGAAAGGCAGCAAACCACATTGCCACACATGTACCTATGCAACAATCTTGCAAGTTCTTCACATGTACCCCCAAACCTAAAATGCAATAAAATATTTAAAAACAAAAAAAACCTGTAGGTTAAAAGGAAACCTACAAAGAAGGGAAATGACTTGAGTAGCCTTAAGGAGCAGGTGGTATAAAAATGAACTTGAATTGTTTCTCTGAACTTGAATTGTAGGAAATGCTAGCAAAAACTGGGTACAGTTTATTCAGTCAAGTACTCAAGTGTCTGAGTTTTCAGTAGAAACTATTGATATGGGGAGAAAACAGTAGTAAAATCTCGTTTTTCATCCTTGAACAGGAGGCATCTAAACTGGATCCAGTGGGCTTCCCTCCTGATTCTATTTTTGTCTATCGTGTCCTTGACTGCTGGGACTAAAACTTTACAGCACAACTTGGCAGGGCATGGATTTCATCACGATGCCTTCTTCAGCCCATTCAATTCCTGCCTTCTTTTCAGGAGCGAGTGTCCCGGAAAAGACAGTTGTACAGCAAAGGAGTGGAGTTTTACTGAAGCTAAATGGAACACCACAACCAGGGTTTTCAGTCACATCCGTCTTGGCTTGGGCCATGTTCTTATTATAGTCCAGTGTTTTATTTCTTCAATGGCTAATATCTATAATGAAAAGATATTGAAGGAAGGGAACCAGCTCACTGACAGCATCTTCATACAGAACAGCAAACTCTATTTCTTTGGCATTCTGTTTAATGGGCTGACTCTGGGCCTTCAGAGGAGTAACCGTGATCAGATTAAGAACTGCGGATTTTTTTATGGCCACAATGCATTTTCAGTAGCCCTTATTTTTGTAACTGCATTCCAGGGCCTTTTGGTGGCTTTCATTCTGAAGTTCCTGGATAACATGTTTCATGTCTTGATGGCCCAGGTTACCACTGTCATCATCACAACAGTGTCTGTCCTGGTCTTTGACTTCAGGCCCTCCCTGGAATTTTTCTTGGAAGCTCCATCAGTCCTTCTCTCTATATTTATTTATAATGCCAGCAAGTCTCAAGGTCCAGAATACGCACCTAGGCAAGAAAGGATACGAGATCTAAGTGGCAATATTTGGGAGCGTTCCAGTGGGGTAAGTTTGTGAGGGTGCTCCTTTTTGCTTGTTCTCCCCAAATTTAAAGCATAGTTAATTCAAGGGGAAAAAAATCAGTAGTGATTTGTCAAAGAATGTATTGGATCTCTGACTTTTAAAACCGAATCAACAAACATTCATTGGACTCCTGATGTTTGCCAGGGCTCATGATAAATGCTGCCAGGGATAGAGAAAAAGTGTAAGTCAGTCTCAAGGACCTTATGTGTTATTTCATAGAATACTACAGAATTATACACCTAGAAGATACCTCATAAGTTGTCTGGTCCTGTCTCCATAGTTTTACAAGTGAAGAAACAGGCAAAATGGTTTACCGATAATAAATGAAAGAACTGGTACTACACTGATGTCTGACTCCTAGTCTCTTGCTCTTTATATTCCACCATAGTTAGGGAAATAAGCTCATTTGTGAGAAAAGATGGTTTTTTATAATAGTAAGTCTTGTCGAATAGAAAGCCTGGCTTCTAAGTTTTCCCTCTAGTTGTTCACAAGCCAGTGTGCCCGAAAGTCCAGGTTTGTTTATTTCACTAGAAAGGTAGTTTTCAAAAGCATCCTTGCAAGGCAAGTAGGAGGAAAATATTTTCTAGAAAAATACTTATGCAGTTATTCTGAATATCTCTGAGTTGTTTGCCATTGTTTTGGAAGGCTCTGTCAATTGTATTATTAGCAAATTAATTAATGACCTTTTGAAGATTGAATTAAGAAGTTAGACATATGTTTAAGTGAAATAGACATCTAGCTTTACAGTTTTCATGAACACACAAAATATGAAATATTTTATACAATGAACATTTCACTCTTTGAGAAAATTAATCTATTGTTTACTAACATTCATGGCAGAGCTTCCCTGGGTGTAATGCCTCTGTCGTGATACAACAGATTCTCAAGATGAAAAATTTAGGGTCTTGAGTTTCAAATAAACTTCTTTAGCCAGAGTGTACATCCAGAAGTCCTGTATTCTTTTTCAGCAGCTGATAATGCTGTCTGCTCTAATTTTTAAGTAAAAGAAAATCTATATGGGTAACAAGGCCTATGAAGGCCTATTTCTCTTTCTGCAAGACCAGCAGGTGGTGCTCCTCACTTTGCTCATGTTAGCTTTGAAATTTTGCATACTGAGCGCACTTCACTTTTTTATCCTCTCATACCTCTAGTTAACTTTCCAACAACTTAAATATTTGTTTAATTTGACCAGGTTATATCTATAGCTTAATGATATAATGAATACAAGTCATTGTTAGTAAGGTTTCCCTTTAGTATTCATTAAAAATGCTACATTTCCAGTTTTGTTGTAATTACTGACTTCATGTTTCCTTTTAGGATGGAGAAGAACTAGAAAGACTTACCAAACCCAAGAGTGATGAGTCAGATGAAGATACTTTCTAATTGGTACCCACATAGTTGGCAGCTCTCTCAAATCTTGTTTTCACATTTTCGGTGTTTGTAATACTTATCTTTTTACCTTGATAAGCCAGAAATGTTTCTAAATCATAATATTCTCTGCATATATCTAGCTACTCCCTAAATGGTTCCATCCAAGGCTTAGAGTAAAAGGCTAAGAAATTCTCAGGAACTGATACAGGAGTAACAGTATGAAGAACGGATTAACATCTAAGTACTTGATAAATTGACAAGATATATTTGCAGATTATTTTCCTTGGCCTCCGAGCTTCCAAAAAACTTGTAATAATCACGTTAGCTATACCCTATAAATATACAAATAGAGATCAATTTGACAGATACTCACAATTATGTAGTTCTAGTCTACATGCCAAAGTCTTCCTTTTTTTAACATTATAAATATCTAGGTTGTCCTTTGAATTTTGAAGCCCTAGAGATAGTCATTTTGCAAGTAAAGAGCAATGGGATTCTTTCTAAAAATGTTGGTTGAAGGACCTAAATACCTGGCCATACCATAGATTTGGGATAATGTCGTCTGTGCTAAATATGTTGCTGAAGAAGCAGTTTCTCAGACACAAAATCTCAGAATTTTAACTTTTAGAAGTTCATGGGAAATTTGATTTTTGTAATAATTTTTTGATGTTTTAAGCATTGGTTCCCTAGTCACCACAGTTACCACTTGTATTTTAAATCACTTAAGCCATGATAGGGCTTTTTCCTCCACAGTTTGAGTATGACAAAATCTTGACGTCATTGCTCCTGAATTATTATATTTTGGAGAATAAGAGGGCATTTTATTTTATTAGTTATTAATTCAAGCTGTGAGTATTGTATATTTTTCCAAGAGTTGAGACACTGGCTTCAGAGTTACACAAGATTGTCAGTAAAGCAGATGCCTAGGAGATTTAAAAGGGATTCTTTCAAAAGGATCACTTTCCGAACGTTGACTTTTGCTGACGTATGAACATTACTACTCTAAAAATAGACCAGTAATAAATAAGTCATTTTACAGTACTACTTCACACTTATAAGTGCATGGTATTTTTCGTGGTATTTTGCATGCAGCCAATTAACTCTTGTAGATAGAGAAGTCAGGTGATAGATGATTTTAAAAATGAGAAAATGTAAGTGACTTTCCCAGGGTCTTGCAGCTGGGTGGTGATAAAAGAGAGGGCCTTAACTGGCAGGCCTGTATATTTACAGACTACCATACTGTAAATATGAGCTTTGTGGTGTCATTCTCAGACAGCTTACACATTTCTTCTGTATATTTACAGACTACCATACTCTAAATATGAGCTTTGTGGTGTCATTATCAGACAGCTTACACATTTCTTCTCTCCTTTCTCCTAATTTTCATGCAGATGAATATAAGGTAATACTGTCATATAATTCATTTTTTATATCCACAATAATATGACTGGCAAAAATTGGTGGAAATTTATAATTAAAATAATTATTAAACCTATGTCTTCTGTTGCCACTCTGTCATATAGGATGGGATGTGGAGTACTTTTAATCTTAAAAAATAGAGTGAGACAAAAACCCACACAACTTTTAAAACTTTCTCTTTAAGTAGATCTTGACTTCTAAGAAGAACAGGCATTTTCATCAGTTATGTGAAAGAGGAAGATTATATCTATATGGCAATTCATTTTAAAGGTAAGGGAAATAAGGTACAGCAGGACCTTTTAGGAAATACGGCATTATAAAGCATTTTTATCTTATATTAACATAAAAATTACAAAAATATTCTTACAAAAGTATCACATACAGAATACATTAAATAGCAGATTTCAGTAGTGCATGGAGATTGATTTTCTTATTTACAATTTTGTTCCTCACCTTCTTTGGAAAGCATTTTTTGCACAAAGTTAAGTTTACGTATGTTAACTTGCCACTTAATGAGAGAGGGAGAGAAAGGTGAGAGCACAAGAGCATGTGCTGGAACTAAAAATGTTAAGTTCTTAGCAATACAGCAATCCCTCTACTTGGTATCTACCCAAAGGAAAAGAAATCATTTTATCAAAAAGACACCTGCGCTGGTATGTTTATCTCAGCAGTATTCACAGTAACAAAATCATGGACTCAACCTAAGTGTACATCAGTGGTGACTGAAATAAGACAACGTGGTACATATACACCAGGGAATATTTTGCAGCCATAAATGATGAAATCATGTACTTTACAGCAACGTGAATGCAGTTAGAAGCCATTCTCCTAACTGAAATCGTTTAGAAACGGAAAATCAAATAACACATGTTCTCACTTACAAGTGGGAGCTAAACTGGATCCACGTGGACACAGGATTCCAAAGTGAGAAAGGTAGTGTACTCTTCCATTCTCGCGATGCTATAAAGAAATACCTTCGACTGGGTAATTTATAAAGAAAAGAGGTTTAAATGACTCAGTTCTGCATGGTCAGGGAAGAGGCTCAGGAAACGTAAAAGCATGGCTGAAGGCAAAGCAGAAGCAGGCACCTTCTTCACAAGGTGGCAGGAGAGAGAGTGCCAACAGGAAATGCCGGATGCTTATAAAGCTCTCAGATCTCATGAGAACTTACTATCATCAGAACAGCCTGGGGAAAACTGCCCCCATCATCTAATTACCTCCACCTGTTTCCTCCCTGAAAACCTGGGGATTATGGGCATTACAATTCAAGATGAGACTTGGGTGGAGACACAAAGCCTAACCATATCAGATAAGAAGGGCATGACGGTTGGCAAAATAATTGGGTACAATTTTCACTGTTTGGGTGATGGGTCCACTAGAAGGCCAGACTTTACCGTTACGCAATATACCATGTATACGCAATGTAACAAACCTGCAAACCTACCCCCTCAATCTGGAAAGTATTTTCTTTTAAGATGTGAAGTTCTGATGTGTATCCACTGGAGGTCTTGTGGGCATCACTGTTTTAAGAAGGTCAGAGGGCTGGAAACCATATCTATCCTGCATGCTTCTGAAATTGGGATAGTATAACCTGGAGAGGAGCAATTGTCATGTGCAAAAGGAAGTAGATTTTTTTTCTGTTCAGGAGAATCACACTACAGTGAGATTTATACAGTAGCGGTCATTATTTTATTATAATAAGGACTTCCCCATAATACGTTACTTTTCAACAGTTAGAAAAACCTTCCTGAAGAGTAGTAGAGAATAGTAGTAAATGATCACTGAAATTTTAGGAAGAGATTTCTTCATTGGTGTACAAGTTGGACTAAGTGTTTTCTAAAGTCCCTTTCTATTTTTAGATCCTCTTCTGCTCAGTTATGACCTACACATAATGCACTGACTCTCTTCCCTTGATAGTTTGTGCATAGCCTTTGGTTGTACCACAAGTGTGGCCTGCAGTGAATTACCTGATCTAGTTCTGTCATCAGTCTTAGGACTGAACTGTCCAGGACTGTGCCTAAATCTGAGGGAAAGCAGCAACCTAGCTCTTGGTTATAGAGAGAAAGATGGCTTAGACCCAAGCTCTCAAATTCTTGGCCAGCTGCATCTTGCTGCCATAGGTTTTCAAGATCCACATACAGAGGGGATAACTTGTCAGAATTACTCTATAACTTAAGGCTTTTGTTGCCTCTGGAGTCCTACATGGAAGCCTTGTTACTTGTAAGCTGGACTAGACTTGGTGGAGCTGCAAAGAATCTTTTTGCTTTTCTGTATAGACCCAATAGGCTAGATTAAATAGTCCATATCCTCTTTGGATCCTTTTTCCTTTATCTATGTCCTGATTTTTCCCATGAACATCTGTCTACCTCTCCTGTGGGAAGAAGAGGCAGAAAAAGTCAAGCTCAATGAAGAGTGACATTTTTTCTCTAAAACCTAGAGCAGAGTTTCTGAAACCCTTTTTTAAAGGGAAAAAATATTCTCATAAATGTCAGTGTGGACTTTTTTCTACTTTACTGTTATTTAAATACATATAAACATAATAGGAAGTATAAACTGTCTGTACTTTTTATGTGAAAACCAAAACATTTACAAATTAAAATACAAAGCTTTAAAGCCAATAAATTTCTATTTGAAGTATGAATGTAATGAGAAGGTGGTATTTTGCTAAAATAGAATCATAACAGTCCACCAACAGCCCTGCAGAACTGCCCTCATTGCTGTTTTGGTTGCTTTAAGTGTTACCCTGTGGCTGTTAAAAAAACTGAAACTTTCTGACTTTGCAAGTCATACATTTAATCCTGCTGGGGATTTATCAACCCCTGTTCCTAACAATCCCATACGGATGCTACTAATTCCCATTGGGCTTGGTGTCCTGGAAAGACTTTTTTTTATTTTTTCTTTTTTTTTTTGAGACGGAGTTTCGCTCTTGTTACCCAGGCTGGAGTGCAATGGCACGATCTCGGCTCACCGCAACTTCCGCCTCCTGGGTTCAGGCAATTCTCCTGCCTCAGCCTCCTGAGTAGGTGGGATTACAGGCATGCGCCACCAAGCCCAGCTAATTTTTTGTATTTTTAGTAGAGACGGGGTTTCACCATGTTGACCAGGATGGTCTTGATCTCTTGATCTCGTGATCCACCCGCCTCAGCCTCCCAAAGATTTTTAAAATATCAGCTTTATGTGTTCCCTGAAGTTCTGACAGAACACACTAGTAAAATTCCCTAGGCTTGGCACTTTTTTGAGATACATTTTTTTTCCTCTCTCACATCATTCTCTATTTCCTTTTTCCTCTTCTTGGTTCACTCTTGATCATTTATGTTTTGCTAAAAAAAATGAGCCATTCATCCAGATTTTTAAATTTATTTGCATAGGAATTTATGATTTATTCTCATAATCCTTTGGATTTCTCATTGCTGTAGTTGTATTTTCTCATTCTTAATTTTGTTTCTGAAAGTTTTTTCTATTTTTTAAAATGTAGGTTCTAACTAGTTATTTCTAATTATTTTTTCCATTTTTTATTATGGTATAATGCACAGCATATAATTTCCTGTCTTAACCATTTTTAAGTGTACTTCAGTAGTTATTAAGCACATTTATGTATTTATATTACACACCCATCGCCACTGTCTACTCAGGAACACTTTTCGTATTGCAAAACTGAAACCGTATATCCATTAAACAGTAGCTCCTCATTCTTCTCTCCCCTCAGTCTATGGCAGCCAACATTCCACTTCCTCTCTTTGTGATTCTGAGTATTCTAAATACCTCTTGTAAGTGGAATCATACAGTATTTGTCCTTTTGTGACTGGCTTATTTTACATAGCATGATGTCCTCAAGGTTTATCAGTGTTGTAGTGTATGTCAGAATTTCCTCACTTTTGAAGACAAAATAATACTTCATTTTATGTATATGCCACATTTTCTTTCTTCATTCACTCATCTGGACACTTGGGTTGCTTACAGCAATTTAGCTCTTGTGAATAATGATGCTATAAACATGAGTGTACAAACAATCTCTTAGAGATCTTGCTTTCAATTATTTTGAGTATATATACATGAAAAGTGGGCAAAAGACTCAAATAGGTATTTCTCCAAAGAAGATACACAGTTAACCAACAAGCACATGAAAAGATGACCAACATCACTAATTATTAGGGAAAGGCAAATCAAATCTACAATGAGATATTACATCACACCCATTACAATGGCCACTAAAAAACATGCAATAGAGAACAAGAAGTGTTGGTGAGTATGTGGGGAACTTGGAACTCTTGTAAACTGTTGGTGGGAATGTAAAATGGTATAGCTGATACACACGTGTACACACACACACACACACACACCCCTAGATGTGGATTTACTGGATCATATGGTAATTCTTTGTAAATTAAAGGGTACATTTTAAATTTTTTTAGGATCTGACATACTGTTTTCTTTAGACGCTTTACCATTTTACATTCCCACTAACTGCTTACAAGGGTTCCAAGTTCCCCATATACTCACCAACACTTGTTTGATGTTTTTGTTTTTTGGTGGCCATTGTAATGGGTATGATGTTGTAGATTTGATTTCCCTTTCTCTAATAATTAGCAATGTTGAGCATGTTTTTATGTGTTTGTTAGTGATTTGTATATCCTCTTTGGAGAAATGAAGTCCTTTGCCCACTTTTGAATCTGTTTGTTTTGTTGCCATTGTTGGGTTTTAGGAGTTCTCTATATATTTTAATAGTAATCCACTATCAGATATATGATTTGCAAATATTCTTTCTAATTTTGTGGCTTGCCTTTTTACTCTATTGATAATGTGTTTTAATATACAAAATTTTTTAATTTTAATGAAGTCTAAATTGTCTAGTTTTTCTTCTATTGCCTGTGCCTTTAGTGTCATATCCAAGAGATCATTGTCAAATCGAATGTTGTGAAAAATTTTCCTCGTGTTTTCTTTTGAGCTCTACAGTTTTAGGTATCATACTTAGGTCTTGGATACATTTTCAGTTTACGTCAGTTTATTTTTGCATATGATCTTAGGTAAGGGTCCAGCTTCTTTCTTTGGCATGTGGACATCCAATTTTCTCAACAC